AGACGTTAGCAGCAGCCTGTAGAACGTGTCAAGTGCCAGCAGGAAGGCGCGAACTAGAGGAGCGCAACCGCGAGCGGGAGCGGAGAATGGAGGCTGGAGCAAGGCGCGAGCGAGCAAGTGTTTGTGAGCTCACCAGTCGATCCCTGATGACGCAGCACCCGGGACTGGCGCGGACGTGGGGAGAGGCATCGTAACTGGGCAAGGGCCTCCCACGGCTTTCCCCGGCGCTTGCAATCGCGCCAAGGGGCGGGGCTGACAAGGGCAGGGGGACGGGAGCGAGAGCGGGAACGCGGAGCGGGACCGGGTGAGCGCGAGCGGGAGATGGGAGCGGGAGCGGGGCGGCGGCTGGGAGGAAGTGGACGCGGGAGCGCGGCGGCGAGGGGGGGGCTGACCTGCGGCGGCGGCTGGGCGGGCGAGGGCTGCGCGCGTGCTGGAGCGCGGGTGGCGCGCCCTGGAGCGCGGGCTTGGAGCGGGCGGCGGAGAGGAGCCTGGACGGCGCGTCCGAGCGCAGCTCGACGCGACCGGATCGCGATCGGGACCGCGAACTGGGGCGGCGGAGGGGGCTGGGAGGCGCGCGGCCCTGAGCGCGAACGCGACGCGAGCGGAGAGGGAGCGCGAGCGGGACCGAGAGCGCACAGGAACGGTACTACCGATGCGCGCGCGACTCGGAACGCGACCGGGAGGGGAGCGCGACCGGGAGAGGGAACGCGATCGCGACGGGACAGAGACAGGACCGGGAGCGCGTCCGAGATCGCGATCGCGACGGACAAGACAGGGACCGGACCGCGAGCGCGACACGGCGGCGCCCGCCCCGCGCCGACTACAAGCTACGACACCTAGACGGCCGCAGAGGTGAGGGCGCAGTGGTGCAAGTGTGCTTGAGAGCTCCTCGTCTGTCACAGTATTGCGAGGTCTGAGAGCGAGAGTGTGAAGTTTGAGATGCGAGAGTGAGGATGTGTGTGGACTGATCTGCGGGCGAGGGACATGAGAGAGTAGGCAAGGGTCGCCCAGGAAATGCAGGGTCCTGGGGCTGTTATCCAACAGAACCCTAATTTCAAACAAAACATTCCCTCCTCCTATTCAGTAAAACAAATTCATTTTCAATTTCTCATCATGAGAAAATAACTTGTAATGTTAAATTTTGGTTTTAGAGATGATCCATTTTCGTTTTTTTAAATGGCAAAAGTTCATGCCCAATAAAGGCAGCGCCTGGGCAAGTCGCCAGATGCTCCTCCCCCCATTTCTAGTCACCGTGGTTGAAAGTGGGGTGAGAGCTGGCAAAAAAGAGTGAGAGGGGTGAGATTTGAGAAGCTATTGGAAAAGAATGGTGCGATTGAAGGGGAGGGGTCTTAGTTGTAAGAAACAAGAAAAGAGGTGGGAGCGGTAAGATTGATATGAGGAGCGAAGAGGTAGAATGAAAGAATGTAAGTGGAGGATCTGACTGGAGACTAGGGACGAGGGTGAAGTAGAGATCAATGTGAGGGAGGAACTGTTGAGGAACTGAGAGCGAGAGAAGTCGGAGTGGAGAGAGTTCAGAGTGAGGGGGTATAAGTGGTATAAGTTTAGGGTAAACTATGATGATTGTAAGTGTTATATTTTAGTGCGAGGGGTTTTGCAGGGATAGCTGAAAGCCAGGGATGTGACTGGTTGGATCTGAGTCAAGGGGTGTGAGTGGAGAGGGCTGAAAACAAATATGCATTGGTAGTAGTTGAGAGAGAAGATGGATGTAGTTGGGAGATCAAGAGCGAGGGATGTGGATGGTGAGATACGAGAGCTAATGGTATGAACTGAGAAGTGTGAGTGGAGATCTGAGTGTGAAGGCTGTTGTGTGATGTATGAATATCGTGGAGTGTGAGGGAGGGAGATAGTCAAGAGGGGTGATGAGTGTGAATGTTGAGGACAGAGAAGAACTGTCAGTGTGTTGAGATCTGAGTGTGAAAGGGTTTTTGGGTGTTTGATGTATGAAATCGTGGAGTGAAGCGGTGGTAGCGAAGAGGAGGAGTAGAGACTGAGAGGGTGGCGCTGTGGAGGCGGTATGGTTCAGCGGGTTGCGTGTGCGCAGGGGCGGCGAGGAGCGCGCGGCGGACGCTACGCGCGGACGTGCGCTATCGAGGAGGGGTCGGCCACGCGGGGGCCACGACGAACGTGCCTGCGCCGCGCGGGGCTGCTGGATGCGCGGGCGCCTGGGCGGACGGGTACGCCCCCGCGACGACCCCGCGGCCGCCGCCGTCGCGCCGCGACGCGCCGCGGAGGCGCGGGGCCCCGGCCGGCGGCGCGGGGCGGGCCCCCGGCCCCGGCCGGGCCTGGGCGGCGGGCGGCTCGCGGCGTGCGCCCGCTTCGGCCTGGGGCTGGGCCTGGCCGGGGGCTCGGGCTCGGCTGGGCGTGGCGGCCCCGCCGGACGCACCAGATAGGGTACGTGCGCTCCATTTACATTACTAGGTGCCGCTCAGTAATGGGAATCCAAACCAAACTTCAGGGTGAGGCATTTCAACCACACCGGCTTGTTCCTCATTATATTAACCATAAATAATTCCCTTTTTCGTTTTGTCCCCATAAGCATTTATTTCCTTAAAAAAGAGATTTTTGTATTTTTTCGACTTCATCTCTGCATGTATATCATAGCAACTTTATGTGCATTTCCAAGACTCAAAGTGCCTGAATAAAACTGGTGGGGTTGTTAGTTGGTCTTGCGAGTGAGGGCATTACAAACATAATGGCCAGCTGGAGGGGTCCTTACCCTGTACCTTTTGAGAAGATCCAAAATCGGATCGGATCAGTGGGCTGTGTGTAATGCAGAAATGTTGTAATTTCCACCCCAATTCAACAAATTCACAAATTTGCATTTTTCGGAATTTGCAACTGAAAAAAATGGAAGTTTTCGTATTCCATTATCGGCAATATATTAAGCTATCCTCATCACTTCAACTCACTATAAGAACAACCTTCTTAACAATGTAAAGTAGAGAAATAGTCAAGAAACTGCTCAACAGTAATGAAGCATGTTTCCGCAAAATGACATTTGAAACATTGTTTTATCTAATTGAGAAGGAAACAGGACAATTTGTTCCCACCTGAAATGATTCACCCAAAATTTTTCTTTCAATGTAATGCTGAAATTGCCGGAATCAAATTAAACTGTTTTAGTTTTCTTTTAATTTAATACAACTTGTTATTCTCTTTTCTCGTTCGAGAAAAGTCTGTAGAGTAAATAACTGTCTTGAGTTTTTGAGTGTTTTTCAAATATATTCTTTTAAAAGATAAAATATTCTCCTGTGGTTCATGAGTGCCTCAAAGTGCAGAGAGACTGTTCCTGTAAATCTGATCAAATTTTAATCATGCCCTTGGGTAATATTTTGCTGAAAAAAGTGAATAGAAAAAGTGTTTTAATCCAAAGATAACCATTTTGAATTGTTGCAGAATTAAAACAGGAACGAAAACTGTTATCAAAAAGCTAGTCTGGAAATGCCTTGCTTATGATGGAATGGTTTGGATCACCCTGACCTGGGTATTAGGGATGTGGCATCAATATTGATGTTTTTATAAATACATAATAACAAAAAACTGTAATAATTTTCGAGTAGAAACAAATTGAACATTTTTAATGGCCAAGGATAAAAGATAAGTTAGACAAGATTTCGTTGATAAATTTAGTATATTATTTTTGTATTATCTTATCAAATATATGCTTTTTAATTGTTCTGTTTATTTTGGGGTTTGCTTTGTTAACTCTCAGTTATATTGTTTGTATAAATAGAAGTTATGTGGAATGACCGTAGGGGACCCAGTTGTTGACCGAAAACAAGAAATTAAATTCCAGGTATATGGTAGCTTCAAAGTCCAGGTGTTCAGTTAAGTTACTTGGAATGTGTGTCCATCTCTTCAGGTTCATTGATAATTGGACAAGCAAGATGCTCTTGCTTGCATCTTCTTGCTTGTTACCTTAGGCTTCCTGTTTTCGTCGAACGACAGAGTTCCTCCGATCATGCAACACATATTTTAACTATATAAATGTTCAGAAATTTTCAGGAACTACAATCCACAGTTAACGGCATAGTTTAAAATCATTGATGGGTTTTGAGAGTTTTCATTTTGACCTGGATTTTTGGAACTGTGTGTTTTGTGGACGAAGTGGTATCCCTAGCGAGTATCCCCAGTGATTTGTGTGCTGTGCTTGCTGTGCAGGAGCGAGACCGCGACCGAGATCGCGAGCGAGAGCGCGAACGTGAGCGCGAGCGCGACCGAGAGCGCGAGCGCGAGCGCGAGCGTGAGCGTGAGCGCGAGGCCGGCGGCGGCAGCAGCCGCAACAGCATGGAGTCGCTGCGTTCGCGCGATCGCGACCGAGAGCGGGACGCGCGCGACTGGGACCGCGACCGCGAGCGCGACCGGGAGCGCGACCGCGACCGGGACCGCGACCGGGACCGCGACCGAGACCGAGACCGGGAGCGGGACCGCGAGCGCGACCGCGACCGGGAGCGCGACCGCGATCGGGACCGCGATCGAGATCGAGATCGCGACCGCGATCGAGACCGCGACCGGGACCGAGATCGCGACCGGGATCGGGATCGCGACCGAGACCGGGACCGGGACCGGGAGCGCGAGCTGCACGAGGGCGGCGGTGTCGGCGTGGGCGTGGGCGGCGGCGCGGGCGGCGGAGGCGCCGGCCCGGGCCCGACCATCAAAGGCCGCGACTGGGACACGCGCGACTACACCGACAGCCGGCGCGAGTGGGACGGCCGCGGCAGGTGAGTCCAGTTCTCAATTATCATTTTTCATATTACAATAGTATTATGTTGACTTCACACAACCAAATAGAGGGACGAAAAGCCCTTGAGACAAATGAGTTGTAGCTAAAGACGGATACTCAAGAAATTATACTTCTTGTTTAACTCTTAGACTGCATGGACCCGACAAACTACATGAATGCATGTGTCTGCAGGACCACTGTGACACCCTGCACAATACTGTTGAAAAATGCGCATGAAAATTCCTTTTTATTTTTAATAACTTCATTTCTTAATTATTCCAAATAGTCGACTCATAATGTTCAACAAATGATTATTTATTTATTTAAATAACTAATCATTCGTTCTTCCTTGTAAGAACAGAAGAAGTATTATGAAAAGTATTGAATGACTCATGACCAATAAGTCACAAATAATAGATTCAGTAGGTTATACAACTGTATTGCCTCAGTTTACAAATACACTAGCTTCTGTTATTAATAATTATTGTTGGTAATACCACGATTGCTTTTGGAATTGTTGATAAATCCCCATCTTGCAATGTGAGGAGGAGATTTATCTCAGCATTTCCGAAGCTTTAGTTCTAGTAACTAGAGTTACCAATAGTACCTTTCAATAAATGAAATTATATCCAACAGAGTTCCAAAATGCGCCAAATATTGAAAATAACTGAAAGCGTGTTGAAATCGTTATGCGGTTTTGTACATCAACATAGCGATCAATAGCCTCCTAAGACAGATGAGTCGCAGCTTATTATTGGCCTGAAGGGGGGGGTGGGATAACAAAAATTGGATAGAAAAATCAATACATTTTTGAGATTCACCATCCTGATTGGGCCATTTCATGTGTGTAGTTCAACACTATTAGATTTCATTTCACAAGTAGAATAGTCAGTCTAATCACGTTGATAACTATTATGTAATATTCCTGTTATATTGACATAACATCCAACAAAGCCACTCTTAATGGAACGCAGTGTTGATTTTATAGGCTGTTGTCCATTAACTATCCAAACAAATGAATGGTAGTGAAAGATGGTGCAGATTCCTATACTAAACATATGCATTTCTCATACTATGTAGGATTTTTTCCTATAAGGAGGTAGTATTACAAAAAGTTTTTACATCCGATAACAAAGTATGCTCTGTTGGTTAATTGTGTAAACTATTATTTCCTCCTTGTATGAACTAGAACCATGCCTGTTATTTGCTTTTTTCTTAATTGCTGCCTCTTCCCATCTCCCAATATCCTACTCAGGCATTTCCATGAGTTAAATCGTGCTTATTGAGAAGTAAAACATACAAATTCAAAACAAAAAAAAAAAAGAGAAAAAAAATGTTCAACGTAGTTGGCTGCATTATTATGTTGTAAGAAATTATTACTATTGACAGGTAGTCATTATAGAAGGTGGTCTGTGTTCTAGAATATTGAGATCGTTACAATTAATTTGAATTCTCAAAAATAATGAGTCCATGACAATATTGTTTGGTCTGGTGTGGTAAAATATTAACTGAGTGGTGCCATAGATGGTTGCTTCTCCACCTCTTCTCTTTAAAACAGCTTCTGCGAAATATTGAATATTTTTCCTATTTTATCATTTCTGCAGATAATATGGGAAAGGAAATAATCTCCACAAAAGATTTAATAATTTTTACCAATTATTATCCAGAGTTAACTTTCGGGAAAACACTTTTCCTATCCTCAGTGAGTCTCTAACAAGGAGGAGTGGGTCTCTAGCAAGGAAATGAAAACATTAACACAAGTTTAACACAAAAAAGAAATACAGTGAATTTAGTGGAAAAAACAAACAAATAATATCAAATAAATACGAATTGAAAATACTTACACCCTAAGCAACGGATCACCCATGAATGTTCACAATCTTGCACATTCCTGTTTGGTTTTACATTCCTGTATATAAAGCAATAATTTTTTAAGTCTGTTTATGACTACCCTTTCTTCTCTTCTATTCCCCCTCTTTCTCTCAATTGGTAGGCTTCCTCTTCTCCCATTCCAAAAGATGGCTGCCACCTAGGTGTAACCAGCATGTTTTGCAGTTTTCATATCTTTTGACCATGTTGTGAACTATTCCGTCATTAACTTTCTGTAAATTCTTTTGAATACCAAATACGCAAATTTTCCTGCATTTGACATTTTCATTCATCCCCTTCCTTTATAAGTTATTTTTCAGTACATTTATTAGCCTTTTCCCTTTAGGCATACATTTCACTCCAGTCAATAATGACTTTTTTTAAACATCAAATTCCTCTTGGTCCTTGAATTATACCATTCTTGAATTTTTTGAGGTCTTTGAAGTTTCCTCTTCGTTTTGAACAGACCCATTCTCTTCCTCAAAGTTCATGTTAGTGTTGTAAATTCCAACGAATCTTCCTTCGTTGGCTTTGCAGCAGAGCCACTTCTCGTGACTGCAAGAAGTAAGATATTAGTCATTTCTGTTCTCAAGAGTCTCTGGCTCTATAAATGGTGCTTAATTAAAATCATATTCTCTCTCATTTTGGTTTATTGTTTAAAATATTTTTTCTTCCCTTTAGGAGTACTTTTTTTAATCTCCAATGTAAGGATTCCAAACCAGAGCAATTCTCGTCTTAATCAGAGAAGAATATCATTACCATCACTCTACCAATGTTAATAATTTTTTTCAATTTATTTTTTCTCGCCTGCATTTTCGTAAACTTCCTCACGAAATTATTCCATTTTAATAGTGAAAAAAAATCATCGAAAAGCAGGGAGTGTAGCAATATTAAGCAATTCTGTGTCTTGCTGCAATCCTGGCTGTTCACTCAACGTTCGTTTGATCGGACTGATTTAGAGGTCGTCCTAGACTTGCCTCTGAACAGGACCAGTCAATTCGCCCAAATCAAAAATAGCGAACTTAATGAACGCAAAAGGAAAAGCGGTGACGTAGTACTCTTAGAATCTTTTTTACCCGGAGGGGGGCGGAGAACACAAACTGCCAAGAGAGGAAGCGAGAGCGTTAAGTAGGGCAACGTTTATCTCGACTAATTGTAAGATTTAGAGAATTTAAGCGGCTCAAGATGCTTTTGGAAGAGATTTTCCCGTTACGATCAGTCTTAGTTTTTACTTTTTTCATTCACCGAAGTTCAGACTAAATGAGAAGAGTTGAGAATTTTGTGCCATTCGCAAAAGTCGTTACGTCACGCGCTCTGAGCACCCAGCACTGCAAGAAAAGCCAACTTCGTCAGGCGTCGTGGAAGACGTTAGACGGCGCCTGAGCGTTGATAGGGAAGGAGCTGAGGGCGGAGTTTCGCGATGGGAAATGCGCCGTCGATGGCAAACCCGGAATGAGATCCTTAGCGAGGGCAAACGAACCGACTCTGTAAATGGCCTTCAGCCTAGCTGTGGGGAAGGAGGGGACAGCAGTGTTCCCGCCCCCGCCCTACCCCTTCCCCACTTCTCTCCATCACGACAAACCTCATCTATACCCGTCTTCTCCCTCAGGCCCTCCATCGTCCCACCCTCCTGCCCCGCCCTACCGCTAGTGTTTTTTCGTGTTGCCCCCCCCATGGCTGATGTGCGCGCGCGCGTGTGTGTGCCAGGCGCGGCCCGCCGCCCGACTGGGAGTGCTGCCGCGCGGCTGCGACTGGGGCGACAAGGAGCTGTCACTGGGCGGCCACCCCCTGGCGCACCGCTGGCCACGACGAAGACTGGGGCTATGGGGCGGCGGCGGCGGGGCGCGTCGCAGGCGGGGCGCCGCCGCCTCGCAGCGCCTGCTGGCGCCGCCGGCCGCGCCCGCGCCCGCGCCCCGGCGCTGCCTGGCCCGGCCTCGGCGGCGGCGGCGCGGCGCGCCCAGGGCGAGCGGCCCCTGCGCCCGACGAGGCGCTGCTGCACCTGGCGCCCGACGCCCTCGCCGCCCTGGCGCGCTCGGCCGCGTCGGCGCCTCGGCCTCGACCCGGGTGAGTTCACCCGCGCCCCCGCCCCCCGCCCCCGGCCGGGGGAAACTGATGCAAACACCGAGCGCTCGGATGCAGCTCAGTCCTTCCGCAACCGGCTTCTTGAAGGCGTCCCACATTCGTTATTCGCGAGGTTGCGAGCACCGAGCTCCGCCGAGTCCTGAGTAGTGTGGATGGGTTGCTTGCTATTTGCGAGTGACGAACATTCGGTGCTCGCCTACCCACCTCGTGTCGGTCTTTAGGATACTTCAAAGGAGCGAACATTCGCCGAACACGTACTGTTCGGGATTGGACGAGCAGAAGCTCGCTACTCAATTCGGCGAACGCCGAATGTGTGGAGCGTCTTAATTCTATAACGTCTTTACCCTGCCAAAGGGGAATCAAATGTCTGGCTATGCAGCTGAGCGTCCGTTCGAAGCATTGGTCGCCTCTCTAGCTCGGCGATTAAAGCAACAGGTCTTGAACGTGGAGACCGATGTTCGATTCCCAGTCGGAGTCGCCAATCCCTTGAACAATTCGAATTATATGGGTGTCTCGGAATGAATGTTAAAAACTTCTTGAACGTACAGATGGGTCAAAGATAACTTTTTGTCAAAAAACACAAGTTAGAAAATTAAATAACTTTAATACACATACCATTTGCTCCCGAATGACTGGCAAAATGAGATCTATTTTGGAATTCATTTCGATGCTATCAGATAAGGTCTGCAATTAATCAGATAAGGCCTGCAATGAGATTCCGAAAAAAGATCGTTGTGTGCTGAATCCGTTTTGTCGGACGATTACGGTTAGATAAAGGTGTCGGTCCGCTGTTCGGTAAGCCCACCCTGCGATCCAACGAACACACTTAGCTGCTTTTGAGGGATCACCTCCCATCCGCATTTCTTTAGTGCGTTGTAGAATGTCTGAGACTGGAATTAGAGAGCTTGAAATTAAACGAGCAGTGGGGAAAATCTGCATCGGGCGTGGTGGGGATAGAATAATTTCCTCAAGCGCGGATGGGGGAAGGGCCGGCCATTGCGAAAGGTTCGGGAGAGGAAATGCGCGGTCGCTGGCGGATAGCGTGGGCCCTTGTCGATGGATTCGTCTAGGTAAAATTGAGTTCAGTCTAGTAGAAGGGTAAACAACAGCCCAATTATCCGTGTAAAGAGATTGCTTTGGCGTGACGTTTGCATTACATCTTTACATTTGAACCGGCGGGGTTTGCTGATCGCGCCGTCGAAAGCAGTGCGCGAAGAATTATCGAATCGAATCCAAGTTAGTATAGGAGCTGAGCAGTGACTTCCTTGGTTTACATTAGGTTTTCTCTAAGAACGAGCTAACAAGTTAAGGGCCTGCCGAAGATGCCTCGATGCTCGCGGTCTATGTCGATGCGACGAAGTCGCGGTCTACATCGAGGTCTACATCGAGGTCTACATCGAGGTCTACATCGAGGTCTACATCGAGGTCTAGCCCGACGTTTCGGTGGTACTAACCATTGTGGATTTGCAGCGCGATTGCTCACAACGGGTTGACTCGAGGTCATTGACCTCTTCTCCCTTCCCGCAGTATTCGAGTTACTGCACGCTATAGTACGATTTATTTAGTCGTGCTCTTGACGTAAATCAGCTGTTGCGGTTTCATCCAATGGAAAGCTTTATATTCGCTATAGTGACGATTGGATGAAACCGTGAACCGCTGATTTACATCAAGTTCACCGTTAAATAAATCCAAGTAAACAATAGATTTGAAGGCAAGGGGACCAGATTATTCAAGAATTGGAGTTTAATTTTAGAACAAGGTATTTTTGATTGACGCTTGCACCATCAAACCCTCAAGACTGCGGTCGCAACCTGCTGGGATGGTTCTCTTGTCGTCGTGATGGAAACATCGACTTCGATCGCGAGCAGCGAGGCATCTGCGACTTGTCTGCCCCCTAGGACGCCTTAGGTAGCATGGACACGGGGTCTGTTTAATAACTGTGCCGCTCGCGGAGCTGCTGTCCTTCGGGCGATGGGCCTCCGGGAAACAAGGACCTGACTGCCTCTGCTTGGCGCTTGAACTCGCTTATTACGTCACAGGTTGAGAATGAACTTCTCCTACTTTTACCGCCGACTGAGATAGCTCGGGGCAACAACTGCTGTAACTGCAGGAGGTGCTAGGCAATCCCCGATGGGGCCGGATATTCCGCCCTAGCGAAATAGCTACCGCTGTCCAGAGGAGAATTCTAGTGACCCGGCTGCACCGGTCGGTAGTTTTCCATGGTTTCTCCAAAAATTGCCAGGCGAATGCCGGAGCAGTACCTTAGCAAATGGGCCAGGGCCACGGACCGCTCGTGATCTTTCCTTCCTTTTCCTTGTCCTATCCTCTCCCCATATTTACATGCATTACACTAGCACACAAGTCGGCTGATGTGTAGGTTGGCACCTGATTTCACGTTTCTAGCGGAGGAAAAACACCGCCATCTCCCAGGGTATAACATATGAATTGTAACCACACTAAAAGGTCTAATGGCCATAGCAGTTGTCACATTCATAAACGTGAAATAATCAGTGAATAAGCCTTCTGCTACACACATCAGACACTGGAATGTTTTCTGATTCACATTTATTAAACTGTTTTACTCTGTATCTGATATTCATATTGATATTTAAGAAAATAATAAAATCACTCATTTCAAAATGAATTCTGTCCACTAGACCACCTTTGAAGGGGAGAAGCTAACTCTATACTGTATTTCCTACCCATTACATCCCTTTTAGTTTCTTGCTAACTACACTAGAGCAAGAATGTTAAACCTTAAAAGAAGACATGTGCATTCTCTGCGCCAAAGAGAAACTGAGCAGTCGCACAGGACATCCCTCGCGGCGGAGAGGTGGAGTGGAGTAGAGGATGGAGGTGGAGCATAGGAGGCTGAGGCCAGGCAAATGAACCGTTATTGCCCAGGGGACAGCTGCCCAACATCTGCACAGTTCTTAAATAGACACACTATATTGTGAAGATAAAATCTGTCTGTTCACATTTACAATTACACATGTCTTGGTGGGATGAATTGCAATGTGTAGATGGTATAAAGTGACATCCTCTTCTAATCCATCAGAAATGCAAATATTTGAAAACTATTTTTAACCTTCAATGCTTAACGCTCTTATGCTTGGTGCCACTTTGGATTCTGATTTTAGAAGGTTTGGGCCAATATAGTTTTGACCAAATTTAATAGAAGAACTAGTGATGTTGACCAAAAGGTGTAATGAAGATGTGGTCTGAAAAACCATGCAACTGACTCTGTTTTTTTCTTTCTTTCTTGTATATCTTTGAAGAAATATTGTTATTAGGAAGTTTTTGTCTTTTATAATAATAGCAGAAGAAGTGTTGTGCAATTTAGTTGTTTTGACACTACCGTAATTGTGTATATAATATCATGATTCATGTGTATTCATGAAACATTGAATGATTCTATAAATTAGCTACTATTTCAGTTTTTAATTATTTTTAAAAATGAGTTAGTAAATAGTACATTATTGTATCACGTGTCTGTATACACCACTTTGAGAAACAAATAGATGTAAACACAGATAATTTCACGGTTTGCTTCACTTTGAGTGTCAGAGAACAAAGCTAAATCTTAAACAGTGTCCTTCATTCTACGAAATTCAATGTACTTCATTATATGATCTTTATTTCGATTTCCAGGTTGGTTCATCCTGATGTACCTGACAAGGAACTGGTTATGGATATGATGGATGAGAAAATGGTTCCTGATGGTATGTAATACAGTTTGTTTAATATACTTTATTTTGACTTGGTTCTTTTAGATTGTAAATATAATCTGTCATTTGTGTTCACGTAACACTGGTTGAAGGCTGTGTTAAAGTTATTAGAAACTTTCATTTAAAAAATAAGGTTAAAATTAAAAACAAAAATCTGCTAGAGTATTAATTAATACATTTATTTATTAAAATTACTATTTTCACATTATTGTGGTATTATCTACAAAACCATACATTTCAGGCTAATTGCTTTTGTGATAAAAAATTATAAAACTGAAAAAAATTATTAATAATCAGTATATATTAATTTTGGATTCAATTTAAAAATATTGTTTATTCAGAGATCTAAATGAAAGACCATGGTTTTATACCTGTGAGTATTTCCAATAAATGATAAGAAGAAATTGGTACAATTCTTCAAAATTATTTGAGTTATCAGGGAAAAACTAAGTCAGTGCATTAAAAACTGGTTGATTTTTTATTTAAAAAAATTAAGTTAATAGCTTTTTTTTTCCTTGCAGAAGAAAGATATTTCTGCGTGCCATTTCATTTTCTCTTTAAGGAGTATGATTTTTAATGGAGAAGGTGAAAAAGTAGTAAAAATGTAACTGCCCTAAACTGTATCTACTCCCTTAAGTCGTAGCATGCATATGTGTGGGCTGTGAGTAAGCAATGCCATCAATTATGACTCCACGTATGTGAAGTGCAGTTTTCACGCTCAACCTTAGCAGGATATTTACTGCCAAAACATTAGGCATATAGAGTTCAGATGTAGTCTGAAAATTTTCAGAACTCTGAGAATTATTAAGATTTAAAAATTCATCATCATTTATCAATGATTGAAATTGGATATTTTAATTTTTTTTAAATCATGAGTTTTAGGAACCCCAACTGCAATGATACGTCGAAAACGCCACAGACTATCAGCAGAGTGCACTGGAGACCTCATTGCCAGTTACCTTTGAACGTCTCAGGGGAATACCAGTTTTCAGTCTTCATTTAAATATCAATGCATTAAATATCAATGCATCAGTTTAATTATTTAATGAATAAATTTAACAGTCAAATATTATTACACCTGACAATTACTGATTATTTAAAAAAAAAAATAATATTAATGAAAAATTCAAGCCTTGCAATACACGTTTTAAAAATAACAGTAAGAGTAAGTGTATCTTAAAATATGTTTTGGAAATATAAAGAGACGACTTATGTAGCTTATGTAGAAATATACTGTAACAATTGAAACTAACCAAGAGATTAGACACTTCATGTTATGAATTTAAATCTGATTTAAATTTAAAAAACATGATTTTTAGAAACTCAACCAGCTTGGAAATGTATCAAAAGTTCTTTCCATATTAGTACTAAAAGTACAACAATTAGAAGAAAAGATATGTACCAAACCCGAAACTGAAAAATATGTTGATGTTCTCAAAATTGTGAAGTAAATTTGTACTTCACAGAGCAAAAGTGACTTTCCATTTTTACTTTGTAAAAAAGTAATATAAATTACTATTGTGCGCATGATTTCTTCCCTTTAATTGCCTTCTCAATGGCTCCTTCTCTCAGTTCATCCCCTGCCGCACTCATCTCTATAGTTACTGGTACATTCTTTGCAGACCCACTTTGGAATGATTTTAGTCCCCAACAGAATTCGCTGCAACAGACTTTATCTATCCTCTAAGGAAGCTATGGGTTGATAAAGGGGATATCTTATTCACTTATTCCAGCTCCACATTGTCACGTGGGGCACCTAAGACCATGATCTATAGAGTAGAATTTTCCATCATGTGGAGGAAAAGTTCTTTTTTGGGATTGTTAGCATATGATATGCTATTCTTAGTGGGTTGTGAACATGACTTAAAAAGACTATAAAACATTCATTTTAGTTGCAATATTTTTTTTATGCCAAATGTGTTAGGTTTCATCTAATATGTACATTACAAACTTCTATGATAAATACTTCATTTATTATTAATTATGTTCCGTTTCCTTGTTCATTTACATATTGTCAGAGGAACACCAAAGATTTTATTGGTGGAAAGTGGGGGGGGGGGAATAAGTGCAAGTTTAATGTTGTCTTGCAAAGAATTTTTAATTTCTGCTGAATATGAAATAAATTTTTGTGTTCACTTATAGTTAATATGTATAATGTTGAGAAGGAATTTATCGAATGGCTTACATTAGTATAGGAAATTAATAAAAACTATATTTTTAATATATTTAATTGGTTTCGGAGGGGGAAGGGGCTGAAGCCCCATGAGCCCCTTTGCCCCTTGCCACTTGGGTGCGCTGCATCTTGTATTTTTTCTTTGAATTTCCCTTCAATGTTGTGTGTTTTGCTGCCAGCTCTGTGTGTGGGTGTTAAATTGGAGGAAGGCCTGCTGAAGAAAGTATTGGAACCCGAGTCTGCTTTGGGTAAGAGAAGCCGTGAACCTGACGATAATGAGAAGCCAGAATTGAAGAAATTGTGCGTAGAGGAAGTGACTGCACCTCTAGAAGAGGCTCTGAGTGACATCAGTGATGACGACGCAGATGGGATTCTCAACCGTGAGGATAGTGTAAGTGCAACTATTCAGTTCACTTTGTTCTGTCAGATCTGTGATATGTTTTTTTGACACAAGGGGGGATCAAAAGATTTAGGCTAGAATGCTTCTCGTGTACCCTTTACCACAGAGATACACACGTTTTGCATTCTTAGGATGCTATAACACGCGTTGCGGAGTTCTTGAGCATCAAGACCATTCGCCAATACTGGAATGGCGTGCAGTGAGTGCTGAAGCTGTGTAGCTCTGCTTTTTCCACATTTTTCAGCTGGAATCACAATTGCAGCTTCTTCTCATTTACACTCAAGACTCCAATCTTTCACTTCATATCTTTCATTATTGCTTTAGAAGATATAATATAAAGTAACTGTGTATGAGCCAAGTCCCACATCCCACCGTATTTGTGCAAATGTTTGGTCCTTAAGGTCTTGTGTATCTTTAATAACCTTTAACACTATTAGAACTTGCACAGCAGTGCAAGCCGAGGCAAAACTGCCCTAGAACTTTGAGGGATTCTTAAAGTCTTGAATACCAATGTTTCAAACATTTTACAAGCTCTGGCACAATCCCGTTTTAGTAATATGTTTCTCTGGAATCGTTGATTCAGTGTAATGTTTATAAGTAAAATAAATTATAAAAGAAACCCCACTAAATTTTTTATTACAATAATATAGGGTTGTATTAATAAAAGCACTTCTACAGGTTATCTTGAGTGTCAGTCATCAGTTCTTGCTATATATTTTTTTCTGGCTTCTAATGTCATTATTTCCCAAAGTTTTCTTGCCATTTTTTCAAGTAGTAGGTAACGAAACAATTTTTCTAATTGTATTAGTCTTTTGATTCAAATATGAATTTTTTAAAATTTTATTGAAATGTCCAATGTGAATAAACTACATTAAGTCAACTAATTTTAGCTTGCCTTAAAAACATCAAATACTTTGAATAACTTCACCAGATCACCTTTTTCACAATATTTACATTTTCAGGTCATAAATTTTTGTAGTATGATAATGTAGATAAAAATTCATTGAGGTATCAATGATGTAAAAGTATTGATAAAAACCCTTAAATTGTTCTGTAGGGACTTAAGCATCCGCAGACCGTTTGTGATTATAGTGAAATAAAATTGAATTGTCCTACACTTCCGGAATTTATAGTAACATTCATTAGCTTGGTTACTTTCCCTTCAAGAAAACTTAATCTGTTGTTCAAGTTAACATGCTTCAAATAGAATGCATTCTTTGTGACAGGGAACTCCTGTAATCCTCCTGTGCATCCAGAATCATACATGGTATTACATAAAATTGAACTATTTATGACTATTGTAAACAATAAGGGTTTAGTAACAATAATATTTAAAACAATTAGAATTGCTGTGTAGGTTTTTCACACATAAATAAAAGATTACTTATATTGTAGTAGTTGCCTTAAGCAAGGTAATTCAAGAATGTGATTGCCATAATTTTCATTAGAGATAACATGTGAGTACTGGATTGATAGTACACATGTGCTATTTTGGATTAAAAACTAGCAGGTTCAGCATGAGAATTAAATGGTAATTAATCTCCATGCATACAAATTAAATACAATTTCTTCTGTTGATTCTAACAATATTAGTTGTGCCACCAACACAGCCACCTAACAACACCAAAAATCAAATAATGATCAAAATATTTATTACTAGAGCTCAGAAGTTTGAACATTTATTTTACCTAAAATAGGCAGACAAAAAGGCACTTATTTTCTACAATGGGCTTGCAAAAAAGGCAATATTCTTGTTAAGAAGGTGTCCAAAAAGGCATGTAAACCATGAAAACTCTCAATTAAAAGGAATTATAGTAAAAAATTAATAATTAAAATAATCCACATTTTTATCCTAACTCTAAAATGTACATTAATACGTACATGCAAGGACCCTGTGTAATCTTGTGTGCAGATGACCACCCAGTACGATTTTTGCTTTTCTTGCTCTTTGTAAGAAGAGAAAGTAATGTAATCATGAGCTGGAAGATGGCAAATTTTTGGGAGAAAAATTCTTATTATGTAACCTCAAAAACATTTTCAAAACTTTCTTAAAAATGGATTTTTTTTTAATTTTTTTTTTTTTAATTTTATTTTATTTTAACTTTGTTTTCATATAGCACAAAGGATGCTTAAGAGAGTGGTGCAGGTGTCATGTTTGTTGAAATCCCAGACTTTTTTGAAAATTGCAAAAGTTTGTGGGGGGCGGGGATACCAAAAATAGATGTTGGAAGCTTTAACGCTGGTCTATAAAAACCTTTTTTGCTGTAACAAGAACAAAACACAATGTTTCTGGAAGATACTTAGCTTCTCAATCCAGATCTAACTTAAGAATTTCTGTATTGACCTCAGTTTTCATTGATGATGGTTTTTGTAAATGAGTATATCTCCCTAAGTATCTGTAACAGATCCATAGTAAGAAATTCAACAACGTAAGTGTTAAGAAAAGGGGGGGGGGGGAGGTTTGAAATGTTGGGTTATCATAAATATCTTCTCTCTCTTCCGTATGTTCGTTACTGTAGCATTCATCTTTGCTCACAGCCATGTTATCAGGAGGTAGTGGTACTGGCAGTTCTCTGTGACACACAGGCCTTATAGCAGATGGTAAAATAGGATATTGCACTTTTCTTCCTTTTTGAGGTGATTCCAACTGTCTGTGTCACTTGTTAGTTCCCTCCAAATCGTGGGAACAGGAAAGGGGATGTGGTTGTGAACTTTTTAACAAGCAATATTACCAAGGCTTTCTTTTTTAAAGGAGAATTTTCTGAATTGAGTGTCATGTACAGGAATTCCTTGTACACAATTTGATTGTTCCTGAACAAATACAACTGCAGAATTAGTAAATAAAGCTACAGGAACATAACAAAACTGCAGTGATTTCAAGCATTTCCATAAATAGGGAGTAGCATGTAACAACAAAACTGAGCCTGATGGGCAAAAACCGATTTCACATTCCAATTCAGTGTCCAAGTCTTGAGATAAGAATACCATTCACAATAAAATATCCACCACCTTGAGGATAAAAATCCAATTGAAGAGATATCACAATATTTTGCTTAATTAGTAATTCATTTCTCAGCATTTCTAGTACAATTGCCGTAGACATTAATCTCATAGGCATATTCGTACGTTGAGTGAAACCTGCTCAGATGACCATCTTAATTTAGCAGTCACCTCCATAAAGGGTTTTTTTTTTTCATGAAACCAGTTAATTTTTCCATAAGACACTAGTAAATATTCCCTCTTTTCAGTGGCCAGACACGTTTTGTAGATTGATCTGTATTAAGTGGTCATCTCAAGTGATTTTGCATTGTAATTTAATGATGCAGAAAGGTGAAGATGTGTATTGATTTAATATGATTTTCATATTCATAATATGCATTTTCATATTACTTTGTATATTGATTATCGCTCTTGGGGATTACTTTCTCTTTCAGGTAACAACTAATGCTTTTAATAAATATCCCGTAATAAAACAACAAAGTGTTAGTTTCTTCCATTTCACAGAATTCATATGGTTTGCCAACTCGTGCTTCCCTTCTCTGGGAATCTGTTAAGGACTCATTGATTACTCTACGTATGCAAATCCAATTTAAAGGCCAATTGCTTCATCAGACTGCCCTGTTGTAAAGGTTTTACAGCATATGAATTGCATCTTGTAGTGTAGTTTGCTTGTTTGTTTTGGTAAGGCTGAACTGTAAGCAGTATGCATTTTGAAGAGTTTCTGAGGTCTTGACAAGTAATTAATTAGCATTTAATTCTCATGTTGGTTTTGCCAAGCTTTCAACTGAAAAAATCTTTTGTGTAATCTGGTGTAGAGACAAGTTAGCAAACAGTCATTATTTTAATGAAAATTGGAGTGTTTTAATTTGAAAATGTTACATGATGTATTTGAAAATCACAGTTAATTGACAATTAATTTTCAGTAAACTTTTATCTGAACATGCTATTGCTAACATGACTGTTTCAGTTTGATACATCGTTCTGGTAACATTTTTCATCATTAATAAAGGTACTTTGTTGTATGTGTAGTGACACAATTTTGAGATGTTCTGATAGTTTTTATATTCTTTTTACCTTTTCTTTCAAGATGTTGGTTTAAATATTACATATTAAAGTTGGGCAGTACCTACAATACATTTTGAGTGCTATGTTGCATATTGTTATTTTTTTATGCACTTTTATCTTGCAATACATCATATCATGCATTTTTTCTTTAAACTTTTTGGAAAGAACTCCACAGCTCTTTCTCGTTGAGTTAAGCGAAATAACAACTGTAAATTATTTGCAGTAAATTTTAAATTTCCATAAATTCATATTAAATAGTCAGTTTGTTGTATGTGGGCCTTATGCACGTCTTCTGCAATTTACTGCTAAAAAAATTATAGCTAAGAGAAATTCAGAAATATCAGCTATGACTAATAATATTAAAAAATAATTATTCTTACAGAAAAAGTAATGTGTTTAAAATTAAATGAATGAACGTAATATAAATTCTTACAATATTGTATGTGATGGAAATTGTAAAATCATTTCATATCTGAAGCATAAGATAGTTAGAATCACTCAGTTGACAATATAGTTACAAAAACACTGAGAGAAATGTTTTTTGGGAGTTGTAGTATTCACTATTAATCTTAAAAAAATCCCTTTAAAATATTTAGCTATTCACACTGGTTTGTATTAAGCTCGCAGATTAATTTTGACACTAAATTTTGAACACTCATTCATCTCTTTTCTCTGTCAGTTTTACTTTAAATGTTCATGAGTAAATTTCACTTTCCTGTTTACCTAAAGATTTAAATTGAAAATTATTTTTGAGATAATTATTAGAAATTTATTTAAAAAGGCGAAGTTGAATAAGACATTTAACTTAAAAGATGAATGGATCATTAGAGATGAATGTCAGTAAACAATTGAAATCTAATATGCAACCTTTGCATTACTGTCTAAATCATATTTAATGGTCACTTTTCAAAAGTTTATTCCTGATTATGTATTGAGCTAATCCTGTTTATTTTGGGTTCTATAATTTACTGTTTACAACCGTGCATTCCTGTTCCATTAGCCTTCCTCAGTGGTTCCCAAACTTTGATTTCTTGGGTAGCAGTCATTTTTATAAATTTTTAGATGGCTTGCAGACCCTTCGAAAATAATTACAATTAATATACAGACTGCTGTTATGAAGACACTTTTTAGACAAATAAACTCTTGTGAAAGTGACAGCTAGATAGTAACTGAAACTCCTTAGAGTGTAGGCACTTAAAAATATAAAAGATTTGTGTCCACACTGTAGGCCTAAATTGTCTATACACATGCTGCAAAGTTCTGAGAAATCAGTTTGCCTATTCCATTATTGCCATAATATTCAAGTTTATGTGTTAAATCAAATTTCTTCACAAGAAATGGTAAATGACCAAAAACTTCAATTCATTGGAAAAAATCAACCTGTTTGAGAACCACTGCTCTACCCTAGCCTGGAGTGAATTCTTTCTCTTGTGTCTTGCACTATTGTGGTATGTGCCATTCATGCAGGTGGACGATTTGGGCAGCATGGAAATTGAACTAGAGAGTTGCGTCTCGCAGGGCAAAGATGTCCCTCCCAACGCTAGTTGTATGTACCCGCTGTGTGTACCCACAGCGCCCCACCCGCAAACCCCAGGGCTCAGTGCGGAGGACCTCCCAGTAAGGCGGTAGACTTGTTTTAGGCATGGCTGCATGACAGGACACTTCAGACTAAGGGAGGCAAAGTGATGTGGGCAAGGATGATGGTATTGAACTACTGTCTGATTGCATATTACACATGTAACATCAGACATTTGCTTGACAGAATAAAGGATTTGAAATGTTTGAAGAGTGAGACTGCTTGGGTGTCTCAGCACTTGCTCTAACCTTAGGTGTTGACTGTTCATTCTTATCAATGCTTTTTGGCAAGTTGTACGGCATTTGAAGAATGGTATTAATTATATGTATTCTCAGATCAAATAGTTTTTCACCAAAACTGAGCCTGTAATTATTTATTGTTGTGTGGCATTAAGGACCGAGAATTTTATTCTCTCTCTCAATTTTTTTCTCATAAAAATTAATGAATTATTAGACAAATGCAAAATATTGATGGTAAATTACTAACAAAAAAATTAAGAATTGCTGTTTTTGTAGAATGTTTTGAGATTATTTAGTGAATTTCTTTTAGATTATTTCTACTGACCTTTATGCTTGTCTAGCAATGTTTAAAGCACTAATTGGAATGAACAGCTACTCCTCTGTTGGAAACAGGCCATTTAATGTAATGATATTTATTCCACTTCATTAGCTGTTTTAAAATAAGTGTCTTGTGATTGTCTTGAGAAATATTTATAAATTACTTGCTTTATTGCTAATAATTGGAGGAAGACTATATCGCCATGGCCCAGAGAAGCATGAAAATGGGAACGTTGAGTTAAAGTGGATTTCAGTTCCTTTTAAGTTTTCTCTTTATTAGAACTTGTATTGAAAAAAAGGTAATTACGTTGCAAGACAATGCAATCAAATAGGATGGGGATGCTATCATTTTTTCTCTGCATGACTTTGTGAAAGAAGTAGGTTCGAAATCACTCCTCTGAGCAACAAATATTAGTCTTATTCATAAAACAGGAAAGGGAGAAAACGTTTACCATAAGGAAGCAGTAAGTGAACTGTTATTTGTCCTTAAATCACAAAATATATTTAAGGTTGTGTGATTATGTTTTTATTAATGCTTAAAACAAAATGTACTATAAAGGTAAAGACATTCACTGTAATGGCAGTCTATTTGTATTGATTGATACAAGTGGTAATGTACTTTTCTTCACTTCGAACTACTTCATTGAATATTGGTGAAGTAGAGTGGAAATACATCCACAATACACTTGTGTTCATATTATCCAACATCGACTAGAAAGGACGTAATTTATAACTTCTAAACTCATGACATGATATTTTAGTTTGTCTTCATGCATAATACCAATAATGTTTAAAGACATTTCTAAAATAATTTCTTGGTAAATAAATTATAAATTTGTTTGTGTTTTGTTTCTGTACAAATATTGTAACATATATTGTTACACGTATTTCAAGCTTTCAGTAGTGCAACAACTTTATCAATATTCTAATTTTGTGAAAGCACCCAATGGTTAATTAAAGAAAACTTAAATAACTACAATTGTAAAAAGAGAAGTTTTTTGTGACTGAACTTCAAACACATTTTATCCATTAAGAGCTTCCTGCACTGTCATAATTTCTTTTTGAAAGAGCTAATTTTTTCACATGAATAGTACACATAGATTTTGAAGGAATTATTCAGTTTTCTGATTTGTTTTTCAGAAGTCTTTTTTAAAAAATCTGGTAAAAGGAAAATTCTTCATGAAATTCGCAGTGCTGCAACTGGGTCATTTTTCTCATATTTAGACACATTAATGAAACTTTTTATATTTTTGTCCTGTTTATAAGAAATAGTAAAATGTAACGGTGCACAGTTGGTGGGACACAGTAACGGTGCACAGTCGAGGGAAAGTTGTTTCCAGTATCACTTTGTAGTATTGTCACTTTTGAAACAAAGATGTACCAAGTGCAAAATGTTTGTACAGATCTAACTAGTCATATTTAATTGCAATTCGTTTTTTTCTTTTCAAGATAGTAAATGTAATAAACTACTTTCTTGTGATTGGAAGAAATTTCAAGTTAGTTTTTATTTTGTATGCAGCCATAAGGAAATGACTTTGATGACTTGGATCACTGATCGTAGAGATAGGATCAAATTGTAGAATGTCAAACCTCCTAAAATGATTGCATAAATCAGAACTTTAGTTAAAGAATCATGTGGTAAAATGCCAGTTTGAAATGCTTGTATTCAGAATTGTTCAGACGAGTTCATTAAATGTTTGATTTTTTCGATTTCCATGTGCCCTGTTTTATCGTACGAAAATATTATTTTTCTATTTAAACTGATTTAACATTTATTTGGCTTCAGGGTGGTTAATTTCACATTTGCCTTCAAAAAAATAATTTAAATATTTTGTTGCTTAAAACAATAAAAACGTTTCAAAGCAAAAATCTAAATACAATCCTTTCCTAAGAAAGAAACATACTAAATGTGAGAAATAATGACTTCAAGATATTAAAATTTTGTCAAAGAATTTTTGTTTGAATTTATCAGGCAATTGATTATTTTCTTTAAAAATTATTTTGAAATGTACTACTTTTATTTTACTAAGGACAAATTGCAGGAGCACTCACTTGTGTGGTAAAACCAACAACTGCCTTCCAAACAAATTGTGTATTTGGTCTCAAGGAGTGACAGAATGTAGATATCTTTGATTTAAATAATTAGCTTCATTGTCTTCATCTTCCGTAAATAAAGAGTGATCATCAATTATTGTTACTGTACATCGTATTATGTAGTAAATTATTTTTTTTCAGATTTCAGATGATTCATTATACAGTCAAGTAGATCACACTGTTTTTGGTCTGATTCTGTACAATGCCATGTCAAAAAAGGAATCAGATAGGTGCTTTTATTGATATCATTTATTTTGTAAATTTTGAGTACCATTATTGGCTAATTTATAATTGCATGAGTGACTAGCTCAAGATATTTTCTTACTTGTTTTCATTCTTTTATTATTGTTCAGAGTCCTCCAAAAAAGTTTTTAGAAAACTTTTGATAGCTGCTTAAACTATCCCCAATGCATGTGAATCCATTGCTGCTATTGTTGATGAGATTGTCATGACGAGAGTCCTTGCTCTGCCCAGATCTTGCATTGCAGAATCGAGGTTAGAAGCCTTATATGTTGTATGTGTGTGTGGAGCAGGAAACTCCAGGGCAGAGCCTGTCCCTGCTGCCTGCTGCAACTGCTGGAGGCATGTCTGCTGCTTCGAGCCGCACGCCAATGCGGGACGTGGAGCCTGAGCGGGACACGCGAGAGGGAGGCCCTGGCACTGCCGGGCAGGATGCCAGTAGGGAGCCCCCAGAGCCCAGGTGAGCAATTAGCTTCGGAGTGGTGTTGTCTAGTGAAGAAGTGTAAAGAAATTGGAGAAGCTGGGAAAACACAGGAAAATTGGCCAGAAAGTTTGTGTGGAAAATGCAGGAAATGGCTTGACCTGCCTGATTGCAACGGGAATCTGTATCCTACTAAAACAAATTATGAAGTCTTGATTTGGAAATTTTTTTGGAAATTACTTTCACATTTGTTTATAAATGGGGATCAATATTTTTGTATTAAAAACCAACAGGAGAAAATTTGCCAATGCATAGTGCAAGCTCTGAGTCAGCAAGAGATGAATGTCCTAAAGATCATATCAACCTTGGAAATTTTTGTAGATTTCTGTTTAACTTCCTCTTTCTCTTTTTTCCACTAATGATCTCTGTGTGCCAAATAATCTTTATCTTTGTTGTATTTCAGTATTTCTTCCATGCACATTGCACGTTTCTTGCTTTTTTGTGTGTTTCCTTATCAATCTATGGTTTAGTATTTAACTTTTCTTTCCTGTTTTCTAATTTGAGTTTTTTTTTAAAGATATTTAGGAATTCATGTTTAAGTTCTGTTTTCGCTGTAGTGCCTGATGTACCCTGTACCCTGCTTATCTGTTTGGAGATTAAAATCCCCAAATATTTTGCCTGATTTTTCATTTCACTAATTCTTGATATTGAATTTTGAAGAAGATATGACTAATTCAGAGTCGGTAGTTGGGAGTCTGTATATTCCCCCAGGGATAATTTAAGTCACTAATGTTTACTTCAAGCCATATCCAATACAATGATTACCTGCAGTAGCGATATTGTAATGTGTATTGAATGAAATGTTTAATCAGCTTCTATAACACTACATCTACCCTCGGTTTACTCAGTCTACCTTCTTCGTATCCATCAATGTGCTCTAAGGAATATTCATCAATGTGCACGAACATGTCTACAGTACCCTCTTTTAACTATTTCTGGGATAACCAAGTTTAATATGGTAAACTTCTATCAATGAACTGATCAGATTGGGCATAAGAGTGCAAATCTTGTATATTATCCCAGTGTCTTAATGACAAGATTCTCTCTGAAATTATGTTTTGAAATGTTCAAACTCTTTTTGTCAATGTATATCATTTGAAAACCAATTTTTTCAATAAGATTTGTAGAATTCTTTTATGACTAAAATGACATTAAATTTTGCCTCTCATTATTGGACATATCCAAACTTGTAAAAGCTGTCCTGTAAAATTTCTTCTCATTTTGAAGAACCTTGTCATTCTGAGGCCACATAATATTGGTGGTTGGAACACTGTTTTTATTACATCTGCATATCATAATTTTCCTATTTTTTGACATTTTGACAACCCTTGAATATAATGATATGTTCTTCATAATTGTCCTACCTTAGCAAGATTGTGTAGCTAGTTCGTCACATTGCCTTGCATGCACACAGTTAGATGTTCCTTACTTTTATTCCTTCTGAAAATTTTCTGTTGCCAATCAATACTGCTTTTAATGTGTCCTGGTTACTAAGGACTAATTTCAAAGGTAATGTACCATTTCCAGCATTTTGCTTACATCCAAGTTGAATGGCACGTAACACAATATTTTCTGGTATAATTTCTTTCAAATACTTTCTCAACTTTCTCCTTGTCTTGCATGAGATGAGCTTTTGAATCTATCCCTTAGGGTTTCCAAAAATGTCCATGAAATTTCATGCAAAAAATTCGGAATTACAAAAGGATACTGTAAAATAAAACATTTATCGTAAACTCTTGGGAAAATCTGGGGAAAACATTTTGAAGCTTAGTGGGCAAGCAACTCGTTTCTTTGTCCTCACTTTGGTAGACTCACGTTTCCCCTTGACAATGTTGAACCTACAACTTATGCCCATCCCACCATTGAATATTGTTTTTCAGTGTTTTGTTGTATTTCAACTGTGAAATATATTGTCTCATGTAAATTAAAATTAATGCCATAACTCCTGCCTCTCTGGCAAGTAAATCATTGTATAAATAACGTATACACACATTTATTGAATTAAATGTACGTCAATCAATATGTCATCTTGTTATAACAAGAGTAGTTTTCTAACATGTATTAGTAATTTTTTCTAGATTATTCTTATTTCCATTAGATGGTATTTTATTATGACTCCTTTAATACTGTTTTAATTTTATCATTTTTAATGTTTCAAAAGACTTTTACAATAAATCTGTAACTAGTGTCCCATAAAGGACAGAGGTCTACTTTTCACTAGGAAGGTTAAGTGAATTAACCATTATTACTTTGGAGAAAATGTCACATTTTAAACTTTTTGATTTTAAATTTTGTAAAACACTCCTCACATCAATCTAATTTCTGAACTTTTATTTTCACTTGTCACTGTATTACACTTCCCCATTCTTCTATTCTTTTCTTAACCATAATTTCCAAATTATTTCTTTAAATTCTCTTCCCAGTGTGACTTGCATCTTATTCATTTCTTCTGTTTCTTCTTTGGTCCTAAGTATGGAAAATATCTGTCTGCTAATCTCATTATGTGACTAGCTCACTTCCATTTTGGCCTTTCTGCTTTCTCTGTGACTTATTCCAGGTAGTTCTTTTCTTTTACAATGACATTCCTTATTTTGTGTTATTCTCAACTGTTTCCTTTTTTTCTTTCTCTTTTTCTTCTTCACTCTCTCTCTCTCTTTTTTTTTTTCTCCTGTCAGTGTTGAAAGACGTGTTTACTAGAGTTTTCTTTTATATCAATAAACTTATTAAATCTGGGTTTTCATTTTAATTCCCTTGCGATTAGAGTTAAAAAACCAAACAAAAAACTCTAAATTGAACTTGGGAAAACAAATTTTTGATGGATCACCATTAAAAATTATGTAAAAACGGTTTGTAACACTGTATGTAAAACAGATTTAATTTTTATCTTTGTATACAGAATGTGTTATTTTGCTGTTACAGATCTATGCTTGGATCTGGTATGGAGGATCGGCCACCTGATGAAGAAACTATGGACAATTTAGACTTTGAAGAAATATCAGATGAGGAGTTGGATCCTGAAGAGAGCAAAGCTGGTATCGGAGATGCTCTTGGAGTTGATTGGGCAAGTCTAGTTGCAGAATCTCGTCCAAGAACCAAACCTGAGGCAAAACCTGGATCTGCTCGCCGGCGCTGGGAAAGCCATCGAGTTCTCATGCGTTTAGGGATGTCATTCCGATTTACAGGAACAGAGGTTGCTGAAACAATTGTATCTAAAATAAAGGAAATGAATGCTGAAGGTGAGTTATTGTGCTAACAGAATTCACCCTCACAGTATGCATATATCGAGTTTTCAATGTGCATTGCCTTTGGTTTGTACGAATGTACGTACTTGGCGCGACAGCCCGTGAATGGGCTCAGACCTAACGGCAACGTCCCTGTCTCGCGGCCATGGGTTAAGGGGGTGGTGTGCTTAGCACGTAGACAACCCCACGCCATATTCCGCTCTTCTCAACCTGAGAAATGAATTTTCTCATTGTCACAGAGCAACATGTACTGGGACATTGCAAGGAAAACGCACACTATAATCTTGGCTAGGCTAGGAATCAAACCCAGGGACGTGTAGTAGTAAACGAGCACGCTGACCAAGAGCTACGAGCCTATGGCCTTTGGTTTACCAGTTTGGTAACGTGTTTGATCCCCAATTGAAGAATTGGGGTATTTCCCAAACAACAGGTTTTTTTGAGGTCTTTTAACTTTTTAAACATGTTTTGGCAGTTAAAAAAATGTACCATTTTCCAAATTGCTGCATTCTGTTAAGTAAAGCCTGGCACATTGACAACATTACTAAGGTGTTGCATGTATAGACTAAGGTTCGACAGTGGTAGACATTATTGCTGTCCATCTTCTGATGTTCTCTCAGGCTTGTGGTTATCCTGGTTTGAATCTTACTCAGTGACCTAGAAATCTTAGAAAAGAGTTGGATGAAAGCAATGCTCAGCAGTGAGATCTTTGTCTCTTGTATTGTAGTCTCATCAGTGCCTCAAATAGATATGCTCATCAGTGCATCAAATAGATATGTTCAAATAGATATGCTCATCAGTGCCTCAATAGAATGCTCAAAATCTCTGATTGGCTTCCTAAAGACTTAATTACTTTTAGAACACCCATGACTGCATTTTCAGAGCCTCTTCAAATAGCATGCAGTTGCTGTTTCTGTGCCATTATTTCTTTTGGATTAATCACCTTGAATCCTGAGGGTCTTCTTTTAAGGGGCAAAGAGCAAGTCTTTCTTCAAACGATTTCAAATTCTTCAAATGAACTTGCACTACACACATGTACACATTCATACACGCACGCTCTCTCACACTCACAGACGCAGGCACTCTCACAGACGCAGGCACTCTCACAGACGCAGGCACTCTCACAGACGCAGGCACTCTCGCAGACGCAGGCACTCTCGCAGACGCAGGCACTCTCGCAGACGCAGCACTCTCACACTCAGACGACAGCCACTCTCACACTCAGACGCAGGCACTCTCACACTCAGACGCAGGCACTCTCACACTCAGACGCAGGCACTCTCACACACAGACGCAGGCACTCTCACAGACGCAAGCACTCTCTCTCACTCTCACTCTCTCTCACTCACTCTCTCTAACTCTCTCTCACTCTCTTTCACTCTCTCTCACTCTCTCTTTCACTCTCTCTCTCACTCTCTCTCTCTCTCACTCACTCTCACTCTCACTCACTCACACAGACGCTTATGTTCTCTCTTCCGCATGTGCTCTCATTTACAAGCTATCTCATTCACACACCCAGTGAAACTCAAGCCTTTTTGGACAGACGCACATACTTGCTACATTGTTGCTCGGATGTGTTGGGAAGTTTCTTAATGCATAAGGGTAGGAGAGTTGAGTTCCCATAAAGTTTAGGCTATGGAAAATGTCAAAAGCTTCTAATCAGAATTACAGCTAGCCAATATTTCTCATCCATTACTGGTCTACATAAAGACTACCAGACTAACATCACTCTAAAAGAAAATATGAGCTTTCATTTATCGCGAAATCTGCCAAACTGACAATGGCGCCTATAGGCGCCACAGGAGCCTTAGAATGCATAGTACTTACAAAGACTGGCATTACAATATGAGCGGTACTCAGGTGGTGAACATTTGTTGCAACTCGTAAATATTGTTTGAAGCAGGTATCTTAAAAATTATATTATAATTGACGAAATGAGCAAAAATGCATTTAAAATCATGTAAAAAGTAAAAAATGAATTATTTGTCGAAATCGAAGGTAAATGCAAAAAAAGGCATATAAAGGGGTCAGTTTCTTTTTTCATAACATAAAATTAATTTCTATACGAAACGTCATTGCTCTAAAGTGAAAAGAAAAAGGACTTTTCGTTAAATACCGCCCTCTAGTTATCACATTTAATTGCCTAACAATATTCCCTTCTAAAAATCAATTTTCTTTGTTATGCTTTTGTTTGGAGCTTTGATTCTTTAACAGCTGCAAACTGTTCAATATCCACATCACAAATGTGGAAGAGGAGAGAGCAGCAAGTTTCTAAATTTGGAAATATATGTGTATATTCTTAGCAAAAAACTTCCCAAATTTGGAAACTTGCTTCTCTCTCCTCTCCCACATTCATGATATGGATATTGGAGAGTTTGCAGCTGTTAAAGAATTAAAGAAAAGAAAAAATAGAAAACCATGTGCAGAAAACATACATCTATCAAAATGAATTTTTTCATTTCATCTTGTGCAAAATGCATGTTTTTTTGGGGTTGAACCAAGGGTTTCTGAGGCTTTGTCAGTCTGTATTGTGTAACAAAATCTGAGCAATAACTTTAATTCTTTTTACACATACTACAGTGCAATTCATACGGAATATCTCTTTACCAGCTCTTTCCAAAGTATTGGTCTGGCAGATTCACTACGCATATGAAGAAGACTTCTGTGAATTCAATTGGGTGTTAGCAGCAGCAGTATGGGTGTTAGCAGCAGCAATTGGGTGTTAGCAGCAGCAGTATGGGTTAGGCTGATTTACCCAGTTTCGGCAAAGTTGTCTAAAAAAGACTCTCTTCTTTGGTCTTCCTACTTCTCTTTTTCCTTTTGGGAGATAGTAATAAGCCTGTTTGGACTATCTCTCATTGTTAATTCTTTGTAAATGGTATATCCAGTTTTTTCTATAGGTGTTTATTTTTTCTTGTAAGCTGGTAATTCCCAATTCTTCTCTTATATTCTCATTTCTGACATGGTCCATTATTGTGCATCCTTTCACATACCTCAGAAATCTCGTTTCTACGTTAATTCTCCTGTTTTCTCTAGATGTTGTTACCCATGTTTCACATCCATACAGGAGAGTAAATATGGCCATTGTTTTATAAAGCTTGAGTTTGCTTTCTTTTCTTGCATTATTTCCCAATGTCCATTTGATAGTGCCGCAGATAGCCTGAAATTTAAATATTTTTTGTTGCATATCAATATCATTAAGATATCTAATGTTGCGTGCTAAATATTGGATACTTGTTCGATAGTGATGTTTTTTATTACTATTTTTATTTGCATGGGATGTTTACCTCTGAATGCCATAGCCTTACGTTTGTTGGCTATGGGTATTATACATATGCTTGATATTTATCGCATTTGCAACTTATTGTTATGACAACATTCACGATTCTTGTTTTGGAAAGTTAATGTAAAAACATACATCTTAACCAACTAGAATTAATCTGTGAATATAAGATGACTCTGTATTTTTGTAATGAGATATTTAGTAAGAAACCACCTCCTGTATGTTTGGATATATACAGAATCTGCCAGATTCATTTGACTCCACTTCCTTCTTTCTTTGCAGCTGAGAAGAAGAAAGAGGGCCCTGAGGAAGGGGAAGATGTGTCCTCAAATCCTGATGAAAGTGTCGATACCAACTTCCTGCACCCTGTGGCCTCCATCCACGTGAACCTGCGGGAAAGGGCAGCAAAGCGGCGTGCCCTTTTTGCCAGTGCAGGACCCTACAAACGTGCTCTCTCTGCACGTCGAGACCTAGCTATAAGGTAATTTTGGTTATGGAGGAGCACTCTGTATGGAATTTTCTGTAATGTTTCTGTGTCCCTGAAAATGATACCAATGAAGGGCTCCACTGAATTTTTTAAAGGTGGCTACTTTCTGGAAAATCAGGAAAAGTCATGGAATAATTAGAGAATTTTTGTAGAAATATTAAAAATTGGGAATTTGGAGGAGATTATAAAACTAGGTATTATACCTTACATTTTGGACATAAAAATGTTTTCTGCAGAATTCAGTTCCTTATAAGCTAGTTTTTGATCAGAAAAATGAATCAAGAAAAAACTATATTAACAGGAACTCCTTCCAAAAGGGAAGGAAACACATGGACAAGACAATTTCAATAGAAATTGAAACATGAGCAAAATAGACTTTTTTTTTAGCTTCTTATATCACTTAAATTTTTTTTTACCCACATTACGCTTATGAATATTGACTTAAATCATTCTTGTGATTTTCTGTAGATAGTGATGACACTTCATGGATTTTTTCAGGCACTTGTATCCTATTTTGACCCTTATAATCAACAAAAAAGAACAGAAAATTTGTTTATTTATCTTTTCTAATAAATGTAAAATAAAAACAAATTGGAACATTAACTAATAAACCGTAGATATAATAGCATATGAACTAATAAAGCAAAACATAACTTTAAAAAAATAAGTAAGAAACTTTTAAATTACTAATTATTTATATTGAGCTGTCACATGCAAATTATAAGATAAATGGTTGAAATTTTCAAAACACCTTTAGAAAATAGCAAGGATAAGTGAAGTCAATATTCATAGGTGCAATGTGATTAAAAAATGTAAACTGATATAAGAAGCTAAAAACATTTTTTCCCATTTGTTCAAAGTTCTGTGGGCAAATTTATTAAATTTTGACAAAAAACTGTTTTTTTAAATTTCAAGTACAATTTTCAACATAAAAAATGTGTATCCCTGGGGCACTTTTGCCTATCTTATTTCACTACCCCCTTTTGGTTACTTGCTTTTAATTGTATGAAAATCTATTCATTTATTCAGTAATTCAAATGACATTGTGTACATAATTTAAATTTTCAATGTAATGTTTGATTATGAGTTGTTCATCATGGTACTAGCTTCTGTTATTATGATTAATCATATCAAAACCCTAGTGTGACGTCATGGATACTCACAGCGACCACAGACACAGAGCTTTCGTATAACAAATATATTTATTAACAAGAAAACAAAACAAATATATACACTTAATAATCACTGTAAACCCTAGCTCTGATAGACCTACTATCCCCTGATCGCGGGAGCGATCCAAAACCCGATTGAAGATGGTTTTGATTGTGGCATTCGCCACTCCTACTTTTGAAGCGCGCACAAAGCCTAGCTTCCGTGACCGGATGTCACGCTGGGACACAAAGTCCGTTCTGGCGCACCAACGGCTGGTTTGCCTCGATCGCAGGAGCGATCTTATCCGATTGAGAATCGGCGTGAATCGTGGCACTCAACCACTCTTCACCTCGGAGCACGCACACAGCATCGCTCCCCCGTGACCGCAGTCACCCAAGGACATAAAGTCCGCAGGCTTCGTCAACTAATGACTCCAGCCTCGCGAGCCTGGCTCGCATATGCACCGTCTTGGCACCAAGTTTTGTGCACACGCACGAGGTTCTCCCACCGTCTCCAGAACCTGCCTACTGGCTCCGTACACGCTGTTATATAGGCGAGGCCCACGTGACCTCCTACGTCACGCCACCCCCTCGCTTGTTATAACAGTGAAAAGCTGCTATAAGCCGGAAGACACCCAAAGCCTTGTGTCTCCCGTCTCCGCGTTCTTCCCTTTACGGAAAAACCCTACTTCCTGTGGCGAGACTAATCCGCAACCAAGCGTCCCCAAATAGATGCCATGAGGCACGCTGGCTAATACGTTACACTAGTATTGAAGATTTTCTGGTGTAGATATTCAAAGTTCATTTACTTTTTCTTTTGTTACAGGCGTCAGCTGTGCAATCTCCCAGTCAAAGAAACTTTGAATGATATTCAACCAAACCCAGACCAAGATCTTTATAGACTTAGTGTGCAATTGTTTGAAAGAAGTCTTTAAGATAAAATGTTGTTTCTTTCTCTCTCTTTCTTTTTCTTTCTTTTAATCTTTTGTGAATGGAATACCTGAAGCTGATTGGTGAAGAAAATAATATTTGAAAAGGGCACAAGTACACTTGATGATTAGAGTTGTGTAATAGACATGTGTGTGTGTGCTAAGAAATTAAGTGTAATTTTTTCATTGTGTAACATGGAAATGTGCTACTCAGGATTTGTTCTGGAAAGAACAGTTCTGTATATGTTCTGCAATGGGACATAGAAGATCTCAACAAGTTCAGTGACATTGAGAAATCAAGACATTTTACATGAAATACAACTACGAAGTGCATGCAATGTGCAGTTTGAGCCCTGTTTGTTTCTGAAGATAGTACGTGATAGAAATATTTTTCAGTTTATTTTTATTTAACAATTTTTTGTACAATCAGTGTGCATTAAATGAAATCATTTAAGTGATAAAAGTGTTTATATTTTGTATTTTCAGACCATCATGCATGCAATACATTTAGTAGACAGGAAAGTCCATATTCTTTTCATTAGGCATTCTTCATGAGGAGTTGGTTCATGGAACAAGTTGTAATGAAGAATTCCTAATGAAATGTTTTGAGAGTTCAAATTCTGTTTGAAATCAATTTATCTCTTTTGCTCTAGATTTGTGACTATTTGAGTCCAGGCAGTTGTCACACACACACACACACACACACAAATCTTTGAAGATCAGAACAAAAATTGAATCTAATAATAGGAATATCAGATTTCCTTGAATTTGATGATCATGGAATTTGTGTAGTCATTACACTTGCTTATTGTATCCCAATACTTCTCTCAGTAGTATTAGTTGTTTAGTTGTATTAGTAGTTTTAGTTGTCTTTGTGTGACTGCTGTAAATATATTCATTTATATTGAGAATTGTATGTAGAGTTTTGTTATGAGCTATGGATAATTACTTTTCTGATATCCTAGATAGTCTTTGTACTAATTACTAAGCCCTGTATTTTAATGTTCTAAATATCAGCAAAGTTTACAAGCATTTATGACCTGAAACACATAATTATTACCTAAAACAAAAAAAAATTGACTTCATAAAAGTTTATTTCTACAACTTCTCTTTGATTATTAGTTTCTCACAAACTACTTACTTGGCAAAAAAACTGAATTCTTGTGAAAAGTTGTGATTTCACAACAAAAAACTTGTATTTCATCTGACTTTTTGATTTTGAGTATTTCTTGACATGTCTTTCTTTTCATTGATTTTACCTACTAAGTGGAATGGAAGGTGGAAGAGTTTTTTGTGACTGTATTACCAGTATTTTCTCATTTATTTTTGTCTGTTGCTCTCTTTGATTTTTCCAACTTGTGTCGGTCTTCTCCTTCTGGAAACTCCTTTAATTTTCACTTTGTCCTATCCTTACATATATACAAAGTAATATATGTAGTACGGAGAAAATTATGTAATGCTGCAAATAATCAATTTTGATATTTCAACAAAAATGCATTTTTTGGGGTTCCTCTCATATCAAAATTTGGTTTTTGCAACACGTCCATCTGTGAACACCACTAGTGCCTAAACCATATGTAAGATTTTTAGGGTGGCTCGAATCGAGGTGCTGTGATTTTGAAAACTTTCTATATAATTTGGGGGTTCTTTTCACAAAGCCCCATGGACATTTTCAAAATTTTCTTAAAAATGGCTCTAAATTTTTTCTTTACATTTTTTGAAAGAATAGAGTAACATTCTCTTATGAAGATGTCACATAGGTCCATTTTTCACTATTATCTCTGAATTTTCGAAAATTGCAAAAGTTTGAATTTTTTTCAGCATGATATGAGCAGTTTTTAAAAAATAACAAAAACCAAATTTTCTCGAAAACAGCTCCAATTTTTTCTTTAAACTTTCAGTTGGGGTAGTGCTAAATGTACTCTTTAAGATGATGTAAATGTCATTTTACTCTTTTTTTGTTTAAAAAATTTCATAAAATTTAATTTTTTTTACTGTCTTTCGAGTTGTTAATATTTAATTAGCGGCAATTTGTTCACATTATTGTATTTACGATTACATGTGCTTTAAATAATGTCATATTTCTCCAAATCTCAACAGTTCTCCGTGAAAACGAGCTCAAAATCTCCATTTTCAGAATTGATCAAATGATATGTTCTCAAAAATGACTTCAAATTTTTCAATAAAAATTTCCACTTAGGATCAGGTTTTACTGTTCTTTAATATTATCAAAGTAATATTTCAATTCTAGTATTAGTAAACTGAAGATTGAGAAAATTTTAGAAAAGTGTACTTTGGACATCAATAGATGGCAGCTGGTGAAAGTATGAGACAAGACAGAAAAGCTGGGCCAGACCAAAGAAATTAGAAAACTAACTAGTATGAGCAAGTGCGTACCATTCTGGAGCACCACTAGTTTATTTTTGTTCTAAACTCTGTTCAACCCTTTCACTATATTTTTCATTTAATTTTACGAGGTGTCTGGAAAATAGGAAATGTCAGGGAAATGTTTTAGAGCAATCTGAAAGTACATGTTCTGTAAGTTATATTTTTGCAATTAAATTTTTTGCCACAATGGTTAAGCAGAATAAGGTGCTCGGCTGATCCCAATCAACCTCACATTTTCAGTTTTCAAGTACAATGGTAAACTCCTGTCATATGCTGAAATGTCAAATTGGGATATGGCGAAACCCTGAAATTCCACCTTCCAAAATTTCTCCAAAGTGAGAGTAAACATAACCAGAAACAGAAAAAGACATTTTTCTCGAAGTAAACTTTAGATGAGATCTGTCGTTATTATTCTGAGTGCCTGAAGTACTGAATTGTCATATTTGTGAAATTAGAGAGCTGACATCATAACTTGTGCTCGTCTTCCCTTAACTGATTAACACACAAATTAATTTTGGGTGTGTAGCACTTGCTCATTGTCTTCACGTCCATAACTGCTAAGTCTTTATTGAGGCTCTTTGGTACTATGTTTGTGCAACATATAGAGCTAATCCATTGTTATGTTGCTAGATTATACTACTGGAGCCACTCCAAATTGTCAATAGCTAGTTGTATAAGCATTTTGTTTTTCCTAGAAAAAGTAGCAAAACTGTTAGTCCTTAGCTGCTTATGCCCCATCAGCTTCGGTGTGGACCAACAATCATTTGCTTTACATCAGCCTCTACATTTTAGATTTCAGTTTTAGATAAAGATTCAGAAAATCACAAGTCATGAATACTCCCTGGCCAGGAGTGCTTTAGCCATCTCGGCTAAATCAACATGTAGCATTCAGAACTTGCTTAATTTTTCCTTTCATCAATATCTATTGAAGAAATAAAATTCGCAAATTATTGCAAGAGAAGCAAATTTGAATTGATCAGAAATGAGCCTCCTTAAATATGGGTACTGGATGTAGTATGAATTATTAAGGCCCCATTATACCGCAACTTAAGCGATAAATAAGAATGAGCAAAATAATTCATTAATTGAATTGAGAGAACACAGTATTGGGCTAAGTTAACATTCTTTCATATTCATTTTTCTTCTCTTTCATCTACTGTTCCGACGGTGACAGGATTTTCGATACTACCTAGATGAATAGGTCGAATTAATTTGCTGTATGGAGAATTCTAGTTGCCAGCTGCTATGATCGGTAGTTTTCCATGGTTTCTCTGATCTGCATGAGATGAATGCAAGAGTAGTACCTTAAGAAACGGGCCACTCGATTTTTCCTTTTTCTGTACTCACCCCTAGCACACACTACACTACCACACATTCCCGGAGAGTGGTCGGTAGCTTAGAGCTTGTCCAGCTGGGGCGTTATCCCGCTGGTGGGAGATGCCTGGTTGGTGAAAACCACTCTAGGGGGCGAGCAGGTCGGCGCCAGATCTCACCATACAGCTTGGAAGACAGCCACCGCACGATGAATAAACATGCACTACAATTACGGGACTAATGACCTTAGCCGTTGACAAGCGCGAAATCACTAATCAGTCACTTTATCCTCTTCTGTTTCTTCTCCATTACCTTATCTTACATATTTTTTTCTTTCTTACTCTTGTACTTCTGTCTTCTCCCATTGAAGTGAGTTGGTCCACTTTCTGATGGGGGATGCAAAGAAGTTCTCATATGTTCTTGTCTCACATTCTCTTGCCATCTTTCACCCTTCTTAACACATTTTCTTCTTAACTTCCTCTATATATTAAACTCTCACACATTTGCTTGCTGGGCATAGCAACCTGAGTCAGAGGCAATAGGTATCCTGGTGGCTGAGAGATCTGTCTGTATCCCGTTTGCTTTCCTGGTGAGACATCCCCCAGGAACAAATGTTTAGATTAACATTACCTTCATGCCAATACATAGGCTTTGACCTCAGCCTTTTGTAGACGGGCTGGCAGAAACTCACCCAATTTCAGAAAATCGACTCAAACTAGGACTTGCTGAACTTCACGGTGAGTTTAGGATGGGTTTGTCATGGCATTTCCTTGTGTTGCACTTAGAGTGACCCTTTGTTGGGCTCCATGGAGGAGGTAGGGCCACGCGGTGAACTGTTAATTCTCTAAATCAACATCAAATCCTTCCCCTGCCCTCTTCCTCAAGGAAGAGGAGATTCAATAAAAAGGGGGTTGACTTATCTTCTGCAAGTTCGTTGACAGATCAACAAAGCCTCGCTTGTTAATGTTTTGAATCATGGAAGGAAAGATGAGTAAGTAATAAAGGTTAAAAGCAAATCGAGAAATTTGAGATGCTCCACGCAGTTTTTAGTCAGCGCATCGGACCATTCTGTTCGAAAGTTGATCGGACGATCCTATAGCAAAACTCTTAAGAATGAACGAACTGTCCAGTCCATCCTCTGGATTCAAGTGGATATCTATTCATGCACAAAATCCAGTTAAAAAGTAAACCACGAAGATTTTTTAATTGAAACTGAGGACAATTTGAAAACCTTCGAGACAGAAGGTGCTACAGTTCCAACGGAAGGAAGAAATTAACGAAACGCAGGTCTCCAGGATAGAGTATAAACTCACTCTGCTTTAAAACTTAGCAAGGGTGTGGTTTTCATGACTTCTCTGATGAAACTGAGAAAGATCTAAAAAGTTTCCTATCGGAGGGGATATCTGATATCTACAAGATACAGCAGGAGTTGAATGGGATACCTTTTCCCCCATGCAAATTCTTATCGACCGCTGTTGGCTTCCGGGATTTTTAATGAGCGCTTGCGACAATATGCTAAATCCTCAACACTTCTTGACGAGTCAGAAGCAGTTCGACCATACCTAGCAACTCGCAGTGCGGTTTGCGGAACTGATACTCACGATTGGTCCTCAGTGCAATGCCGTGTTAACGCAATGCATATTTAATTCTAAAATCCTTCAATATTAGTAATATAATATATATATATATATATATATTAATATATATATAAAGTGATGTATGATTAAACTATACGCAAAACATTGGCATAACAGAATGATGTGTTGCACATCATTGGATAATATTTATAATAAGGAATGTTGCTGGTTGACGCGTTTCAATTTTATATTGCATTATTCAATAATAATATTAATAATAATTAGTAATGATTTTCAGTGTTTGATAAATATAAATCTACATATAGGAATACGTCTATTCTGTTGCTACACACCGTGGCGGGGACGCGGGTACCTTTTGTGCTGACCGTGCCTTCGCGCTATCCTAACACTCCCTCGCCGCAACCTTCGAGTCGTCGGAGCAATCCAGCACTGTCTTGTTTATTGGTCGTTGTTGTATTTTTGTTAGTTTCGTAGTTAGTTGGGGGAAAATAAATGTTGTTTTTTGATTTGTTTTTTACGAGAAACGTAAAGCCTTTTGACTGGACTTTCGCTTCAATTTGAATGGTGGTTTTCAGCAGGATTAGGACCTGGATCCCATCCATACCCGGGAGCGGGAAAACGAAATATTGTGTTTGACGTCCCAATGAATTTATGTTTAGTTTTTGCGTGTGAATAATGTTAAAATGAAACAATAATAATTGATTTAAAATTATTTATAAACAATACAAAATTCAATATGATTTGATGGGATTTTCTTTATATTTCAGCATCGAAATGGGGGGGGGGAGGAGATTGGTGAAAGTAAAAATAGGGGGCCCCCAAATTAACCTAGGTCCAAGGACCCCAATCCTGTTAAAACGACCTTGCCGCAGTGTTATCTATCCAATTGTAACAAAATCATCGTGTTTTATAGGGAAAGTGATGAATAAACTTCGAGCCTTCCAGAAAAAGTCCTTCCTTGAATCTTGTTGGCGCTAAGTACCGCATCCAAAACCCGGAGCTCTAAACAGTTTTCCCAGCGCCCTGAGACAGCCCATAACTACAAGTGGCCAAACCGAAATAAAGAAAATAAACTAGGTGCGATGATCCACGTTATTGCCCTATAAGATTTATCTAGTTGTGTCCAGAATACTTGGCCGACAAAAGACAAACCTGAAAAGAAATCAACCGAAAAATCTCCCGCAGCTCTATTCCTCAGTGAAATCATGCAAAAAAGACACAGTTTTTGTTTTGAGCGGAAACTTTGAAATAGTTTTTGAGCTTGTTCCAGAGTTCTAAGAAACTAAACATTTTGTTATTTTGTTACACTTGAATTTGGTGCTGTGAAAATATGAAAAATGTTTTTCTGATAGTATACATTATTTTATTATTTTTCATGGGTTTTTCAATCAGATACAATAGTGTTAGGTTGACGAAAAAACTTAACATTAAAAAAAGTTGCTTTGCTTTATATTGGAGGGGGTGATGGGACGGGGGCTAAGAAGTGTTAGATTTTAGCTTAACTACTCATATGTCATTCAGTTTTAGGGAACTTTAACGATCTTGTCCAGCAATACCCTTTTTGAAAGAGATATGGAGCCACGACCTCAACAAACCGAAAAAAGGAAATACGAGCACCGTAGTTAACAAACGTAACACAAACCTCGACAAACGCACAACTCAAACATACTAATGTCCTAGAAAAACCCGCAATGGAAATATCACGTTACAATAACATTCTTATACAGTATTTGACGGGCATGAGTCAGGGCCAGTTCCAAACGATCATTTGGGATGGAGAGTCATTGATTTTTTAAAAATCTTTACTAATAAAAGTGAATTTAACGATAGCTAACCGACAACGACATCACAATAATGAGATAAATAGATACGAAATTTGGGAAAGATTAATACAACACAAATGGGGAATATACACAATTTAAATAATGCCCTGTTAGATGCACCCCGATCATCATTTTTCGTCTGTCGGAATGGTTCCTAATAGGTTCAGGTCTGAAGCTTCTGCCATACAGCTGCGATTTGCAGAACCCTGTACCATCATACAGTACAGATCTCTCTCTCTCTGTATATATATATATATATATATATATATATATATATATATATATATATATATTATATTATATATTTTCATTAGCCAACCCACCTACCTCTGTAACAACTTACCACCTTCACAGTAGCAGGCATGAACCGTAAGCGGTTATCAAGATTTTGCTCGTGAGCGAGCTTTAAAAATCTAGGGAGCAGGATCTTCCAGGGTGCGAGAAAGGTTTGAACCTTACACAATAAATCACACATATTGTACAAAAACGACGCGTATAATTTACCATAAACTTTTAGTGCATAATTAATGACAGAAGAACCAAAATATAGAATCAACTTTTACAAAAGAATAATTAAACACCAGGTAGAAACCTTTACAATGCACACTTATATGAATGAACACATAATTTACTTGAAGATAATACTCTGAAATAATTACGCCTAAACTACACTGGAATTCCTTGCGAAATTAATTATATCTTAAATTTGTGCTTTTCTAATTAACAATGCACGTGAAATCAAAAATTCAATTACAATCTCTCGCTTCAAGATATTACATGAAAGAAAAAAATGTGTGCAAGTGTGCACTACTCTAATTTACAAATTTAACTGTGTCTGAAGAATAGCGAAATAATAAAATGTTCCTGAGTAGAATGTTTTTTTTAGGCAGGCAATAGCGCATCAAAACGTCTTCCTACTATAATACTCGTAATTGTGTTGCCACCCGTGTCTCAAATTCTTAACACATTTCTATTACTAGTTTTCCCTACCGACGTGAACTGACCTATTTTCTGGGTTCCTAACTTGTTACTCGTGGACTTCCCACTTTTGGCCTTGATGCGCGTGCGCTGGTCGCTGCGCTGAAGTCGTTCGGTCCAGCCTCTGCGTCGTAAGAGAGACGGGATTCGCTTCTGCCGTCTGCGTTTCCTTCTTGCGTCCTCTTCCGTTCTTCCTCCCAGCGTTCGTCTTCTCCACGTGCGTCTGGATCCTCGGCCTCTTTCTTCTTTCCTCGTCTGCTACCGGCGCCTCTGACTACGCTCACGTTGCGAAAATGTCCTTGCACTTTACCGAATACTCGTGCAAGTTCCTCGCTCGTTGCTACTTTTACTTTGACAGCCAGAACTTTTAATGTTTCCTTCACAACGGGTAACATTTACTTCCGTGTTGTTAATTGAAGAACACTACTTAATCTGCACTATCTCGCCGACGACTAACTAGAACGTCTGTTCGACGCCGAATACTCCTACCTAGTAGTCGTTGCAGTGGCAAACAATATCTAATGTTTAATGAAAATGTTGACTCGTCGAACGCTGATCAAAAGAGCAGTTGCTTACTCGACGCGTGGTGACCAGAAAAAGAGAGCTTCCGCTTGCGGGTTCGCGTATTTATTGCACGGCGCCTGGGAAATTCGTGGTGGGGCCGCTACTTCCCCTCTCTTAACCCTTCACAAGGAAAACATTACTTGCAAGTCGCATTCGTTAGTACGGCAACGGATACCAGGCCGCGCGTTTAAGTCCCTCTGCCTACGCGTTGTTAATCCTCGCTGCCTCCGTAGTGTTCACACATGAGACGGTGGTGTTATGGGGTTGCACAATCCCACAACGCCACATTGCCCCCTCCTTCTCTTCTTAAGATTTCCTTCGCCCTCGAATAAAATCTTAAGTGGGCCTGAGACTATAAAAATTATAATCGCCGACTACCTCCCCACTCTGACTAATGAGTCTGGCAACATTGGGAGCAACTCTACTCTGGGGCCTTTCATACGGGCCTTTTTTATAATCCGAAAAATTTCGCAAATAATTTCAGTTGAGGATTTGATTTTCAACTCATCACTGGATATGCCTCCTGTCAATTAGGGTACATCAATGCTTTCTTTGTCTGGTTTAAATTTCTGAATTTGTTCTTCATCTTTTCAGAATTTGTTTTTTATTACCTCGCATATCATTGATGTTTTCATTATTACATCTATTTGTAGACATTATTGCATTTGGGAGTACAAGTACTTCTCATTATGTCAAATGAAGGTCTTGAAGTCTCAAATTTTTTCTGTGAAAATGAGCTCACAATTCCGCATTTAATTAGTTTATCAATAAACATAATAACTTGGATTATTTTAATTGTCATTAACCTCACATTTTATAAGTATGTGTGTCATAACAATACCCTCGAAATTATTTCTTTCCAAGCTACAGATATGACAAAGTTTGAAACTACCGCCATGTTCCCGTCGGGCCTCCGTTGTGCCTCCGCCCACATTGCCACCTCATTTTCCCGCGTTTCCAATCGACGATTGGTACAGTTGCACCGATTACACCGAGTGAATCGGTCCACGTAGTTCTTCGATGTTTCGTCTGCTCCATGTTGGCGCTAGTGAGTAGTGAATTGACTTCGAGACTCACGAATCTTGAGAGAGAAACTCCGACCTGAAGAATCATTCGTGCAACTTCTTTAGTGTTGTATATTGAAGAATTCACCTCTAAATTATGGTTCTGTTATTTAATGTACATTTACAATTTATAAACCAAAAATAAATGCAGTTATGTAAAAGTATCAACTTACTTCATAAATATTCCATGAGTAAACACACATCTTCCATGCATTTATTATTTATCCATTTCGATGGGAACTTCGGATTAAATGGGCTGTTTGACTTAAAACATGATATTATTGATGATTTAAACGATTCATAAAGGCCTATTATGTTTGTTCCTTTCGAGGTGTACTAAAAATTCTATGATTTATAAAATGTTAATTACATTATTGATTAAGATCCATTTTCTCGAGATTTTGAAAGAGCCGCCTAGATTGCTGCGTTCCACCAATCACAGTGCAGACACCGCGACAACTGGTGAACGATTCAACCATGATTCAACGAATCAGTTGGAAAAGTAATCGGACTACCGGTTCAATCAACAGTTGGGGAAATATACTCTCTGGTTGGGGCCCCTCCGGATGATATCCTGAGGATATCCCCCTGGGAAAAGTTAGTTGTTATTCTTTTTTTTTTGTATACGTTTTGTGAACTTTTGCGCATGATATAATATTTATGGTGGCCACACGGCGTGAGTATTGTTAAAGGCAAATCTGAAAATTGGCCAGAAACTAATTATATACACCCTTCGCTGTGTACTTTGGAGGTTAATAGAGTTTTTCTAAGTGTTTAAAATTGTCGGGTTTTGTTCATACATGTGAGATGGATTGACTTGTTTCCATTTAATTTCGAGGATTACTTTACCCATTCAGGTTAAAAATCTTGAAAAACCATTTGTAAACCATATAAATATTTCCATATAAACCATTTGTAAACCATATTTCAAATAGAATAACAAAAACTGTAATTTTGTGTATGGAAGGTTTAATTAAAAACTCTAAATTAGACACTTATTATGTTTTCTTGTTTCAGATAATTTGAATAATGCCTCGTCTTCAACTTAGTTGGCAAGAACATCATAGTACCCTTGTTTCACTGGTGCAATCCTTTTGGGATAATGACTTATTTGTTGATTGCACTTTGGCAGCTGAGGGCAAGTACTTGAAGGCTCACAAAATAATTCTGTCAGCTTGTAGTCCGTATTTTCAGGTGAGTCTTTAAAACAAAATCTGCTTGATCTGGATGGATCTGAATTATGTGATGCATGATGATGGTGAAAGTACTTCATAATTTTCATGAACTTCATTACTTCAGTTTGTGGATTGTGATCATCTAAAGTTGAATATGGTGAGATATCTTTCATATGAAAGTAAGTTGCGTACAGTATGTCTGGGAGCCAATATTTTTTAATTTTCTCATTGTAGCAGTTGTTAATATGACTTCGTGTTGCAGAAACTAAATGAGTTTTAGAAAAAGTAATGTGATTATTACCTGGCTAAGAAGGAAATTAACTTTTAAATTTCCAGAATTCTCTTTGGAATGGCATAGTGCGAATGTTCATGTTCTGAGACAACAAAGTGAACGATTTTTCCTCATATACCTGCTGTCAGGGAATCTTTGACAAACTCTTCCACTGTTTCACTGCAACTTTCATACGCTTGGGTGTGATTTTCAAGGTCGCAACAAGTATGATATTGTCGCTGTAGCTTCGGGTTCTTAATATTGGTTGTCTGCTCCCCATTCACTTCCCAAAAGCATTACAGATTCCTTTAGTTGTTAATAAAATTTCTAAAATGCTGTCATATCATTCTAAGATGGGACTCATAACATTGACGAGATGTAGAACACAATTTTGTGAACGCTCGCAGTATAGTGAAGGATAGCTGTGTGCTAGTGTGTCAAAATGTCTATTAAGCATATGTGCTAAATCCATCCTCTTCAGAAGAAAATACGGAATAAATGCTTGTCTTTTATTTTCCCTGTGTATTTGGTGTTGGTATTTTATTTCTTGCAATATTTTTGTTAAATTATGCTTTATTTTTTTTGTTTTATTTCTCTAACAAAATTATATTGAAAATTTACTTAAGTTATGTGGTGATTTTTTGCAAACATTTATAAGATGGAAAACCTGCCAAAATGGAAATATTTTGAAGGAATGGTGAGGTTCGGTCTTAGATGCTTTGTTTACTGTAAAATCATTCCATTTAATGTTTATGAACATCCCTTTCTTCACTTAACAAAAATTAAGTTTTTTCATCTGTTTCACTAAATCGAGGATCATTGTCAAAGCCATCAATTGATTCCTAATCTTACTCGCATAATATTTTCTCAACCTCTTGTTTGATTGGTATATATCATGCAAGTCCCCACTGTGTTGAATTGTTAGCATTTCTGAGCTCTCTGGTTCAACAGACAATGTCAAACCTCGCTAAGAAAGAAAAGGAGGGAGGTACAGATATTGTGAATAAAGATCCTTCAGATAGATGAAATGAAGAAAAGAAACACTGTCAAAGAAAAGAAATATCGTGTTGCATGGTAGGGTATAAGTGACTAATTACCAAAGTTGTGGCTATGTTAAATTGTAAGCTGAATTTTAAACGTTCATTTTTACACTTAACATGTGTACACATCTTGCCTTTCTTGAGGGTATACATCTTGCCTCTTTAAATACTGTAAATAAGTGTTCTTTGAAAAATTATTTGTTTTGAACGTTTATTTAATATAGTTAGTAGTAACATAATTGGTGAAAGAATCAGTTTGATATTAGTATATTATATTACGATATCTTAGAACCGAAATATTTCTTTGTATGAGTAATACTTTCATTACTATTGATTTTACCAAGAAAAAGAATGATTTCAATTTTTTTTGTTATTTGTTTAGAAGTTATTAAATGACAATGATTGTTGAAATAATGACCATAGAAATGTGTAGTACTTTTTGTGTCCTTGCTATTTTCAAAAGAAACTTATTTTGGGTATTGTATATTATGCAAAAGGTACTAAAAATATTCATGGACTTTTTCAGTTGATATTTAGCCAAGAAAATGAAAAGAATCCCATTGTGATCTTGAAAGATGTGCAATTTGAATGTTTAAAGTCGGTATTAGACTTTGTGTATTTTGGAGAAGTGCAGGTTCGTGAATCCCAACTCAGTACCTTTTTGGAAGTTGCAAGATTATTGCAAATCAAAGGGTTGGATTCCAATGACAAAGAAACTGTAAGTGTTGATTAATTTTAATTTTTAAGACTCTCACCTCTAGAATATTTTGGACTCTTCATCACTGTTCAATTGCACTTTGTTTTGTATTTTCAGTCGCAGAAAAAAGCACATTCCACACGTTCAAAGACTAAAAATAGCACCTCTCGGTCAATAAAGTACGAGGCTTCAGATGAGGTTATTGATGTTGAAGATGATTGCAAAATTGTCAGAGTGGTTGATAGAATTGCCAAGGCCAGTTCCTCACAGCCATCCCATGCTCCAAGCTCTTCTCAGGCTGAGGATGCAAGAACTATCACCATTGAATCTGCCTATAGCATAGCCACTAGTGCCAGATCTGCTCCAGTGTTGAGTGATTCAGTGAATGCTGAAGCTCTTCAATGTCCTCTTGACTCAGCAACTCCTTCAATTGCTTCATCTGTTCCTGATTCTGCTGATGCAGTGCAGTCAAGTAAAGTGCTGGAGTCTAATGATTTGAAATCTGATCCTGATAAACATTCTTTACCCAAAGAGAATACCTCAACTGATTCAGTATCTGGAACCAGAACCATTCGCGGAGAATCCAGTGTCATTAGTAAGTCATGTTTTCGTTTTGTTATTCGTATTGTGTGTCAGTGGTATTGTGCATCTGGAAAACCAGAACACTTAAAAAGAGAGAACAGAATTTTTTGTTCACCTTTTATTAAAAATTTAAAATGTGCAGTTTTTATTTCCTTAGCTTTGATTCTCAGCCAATTTCATGCAACTTAAACTGTTCGTAAATTATAAAAGTTTAGATTTGCTTAAAAATTACTAGTTCAGTTAAATAATATTTTTGTTTTTTGTGTTTTGACTTTGAGCACCTAATAACTGTTTTGCCGTAGAAAAATTTTTGTGTGAACCGAAGATTTTATGTGAACCGAATGTTACCAAATTGTATGAATTTTCTTAATGTTTCCAAATATATTCTTAATGTTTATTGTGACTTTCCAGCAAACTGTACAAAATAGCAAAAAAATCATCTGTCCCATTTTTATATATAGGTGTTGTGGTAAGATATCTTTGGCATTTTTAAAATAATTAAAGATGTTGTCATTGCCAACAATGTTTTTTAATTCAAATGGAGGTTTCGATGGCTTAGCCATCATCATCAGTTGTCTGCTATATGGAAGCCACAAAACGGCTTCCATATAGCAGACAACTGATGATGATGGCTAAGCCATCGAAACCTCCATTTGAATTAAAAAACATTGTTGGCAATGACAACATCTTTAATTATTGTCCCATTTTTGTTCAAACATAATTGTTTTTTATCATTTATGCATTTTTAGTACAGAACCAATGTGTGTGGGGTGGCTGAGAAGAAATGTGTAGTTCATAACTTAAAATTGGAAAGAAGTAATCAAACAAAACAAATGCAGCATAAAATTTCATTTTATTATTTACAAAATCATTTTATTTTCCATGTAGTCACCATTTACAGCAACACTTTTTCCTCAACGGTGAACCAGTATCATCTTATCCATTAAGAATACTGATTGTCTTTCCGTAATCAAAAATCTCTCTGTCTTCCAGTTTCATTATCTGAGGTTAAAATGAACACCCTTGATCTGTCTCGAAACCTGGAAAGAAGTGAAAGTCACAAGGTATCAAATCTGAATATGAAGGATATAAAGTGGATACAAATGCCAGCTTCATTAGAACCTCAGTGGCTACATGCAAAATGTGTGGCTCATTATGATATTGCAGAATATGGCTCCATGTATTACTAACATTACACGTACATCTCCCAAGGCATTTTTGTGTGATGCAACAGTTTCTTTTTTTTTTTTTTTAAACCATTTTCATTTGCATGCTAGTTCATAGAAACAGGTTGACTTCTGATACGTTCATCCTCGGTACTCACTTCCCCAATTTTTGTCACAAGAAACGTTATTACCCACCTACACAGTTCCTGAATCAGCAGCTTTATTATCAGAATTTCACTAGCTTTCACTTATTCAGTTGTTAAATACTCAATCACACTACAATGTTTTAGACATATTGACTTACTTGGCAGACTCTGCTCCATACAGAAAATGTGAGGAAATGAGTAAATGATAATGGTCATGTTTGTATTATAGGAACTAAGTTATCAGGTTAGAGCATGTTCTACACTGCATTGTTTTGTTTTCCTGGCATGTTTAACTGTGCATTACTTCTCAGCCTGTCTTCGAATTTCATGATTCAGAGAACTCTGTAACTTCTCATTTGTAACAATGTTAAACGTGCTTAGCAATAATAGGAGTCTGCTAATTTTCAGACTCTTCTGGAACTGAAGAGGGAGCAAATAATGGTCGTGTCATGCCAGATCGTTCTGATAATTCATCTGGAAAAAGAAGAAAACAATGCAGCTCCTCAGGTAAAACATTTGGGGTTTATTCTTAATAAAGATATGAAAGAGGTAAACAATTTGTTATGTTTATCACTGGTGCTCAGGTTTTGATGACCTTCAGAATTCCATTTTCATAAATAATTGATTTGGACTAAACCACAACCTAAAAAAACTAATGTTTTCAAAGTCTTTTAAAAACTGTGAAGACATCTGATGGCATTCTTTGATGTATTTTGAACAATCAGTTTATAGTATAAAATCATTATTAATATAAAATCTACCTGAGATTTGAAAATAAAATCTGAAAAATCTGATGACAAGTGAAAGTATATGAAAACATGTAATTAACCATAAAAATTTTACCTGTGTAACACAAACCAAATGTAAATACATGTTAATACATAACTCATTAATGTACCACATGTGTAAGAGGCCTAAGACATTTCAAAGCAGGTAAATACATTGTAAACAATTTACTTACATTTTTCACATCTTTCACATCAATTGTGAAATTAAGGCAAAATATTAGAGATTGTTAGATCAGAGCTTTTTTGACTTTAAACAACATTTTTTGTGGATTGTATTATTTTACTAGTGCAAGCCTTTCACATTCCATCCACCAAATTTGATGTATAAAAGGTAAAGGTATACCATACAACTTTTGCGCCTTTTCTACCTTTTTTAAAAGAGTTCAGATGTACCATATAACTTGTCTTATACCTTTATTATACCTTTTTAAATCAGTTCAGATGTATTGTACAACTTGTGCTCTTCTTCCACCTTCTTAAATGGGTTTAGATGTACCGTATAACTTGTGGCCTCCTTCTTCCTTCTTAGAAGAGTCCAGATGTAACATTCAACTTGTGCTCATCTTTTTCCTTCTTAAAAGTGTTCAGATATACCGTTCAACTTGTGCCCCTTTTCTATCTTCTTAAAAGGGCCCAGATGTACCATTTGATTTGGCCCCCTTTCCACATTTTTAAAACAGTTCAGATGTACCATACAACTTGTGCTCATCTTCTACCTTCTTAAAAGTGTTCTGATATACCATACAATTTGTGGTCTTCTTCCTTCTTAAGAGAGTCCAGATGTACTGTACAACTTGAGCTCATCTTTTACCTTCTTAAAAGTGTACACATACTGTACAACTTGTGCCCCTTTTCTACCTTCTTAAATGGGTCCAGATGTACCGTACAACAGTTGAGAATTCTGATTGATTTTTGTAGTTTTGAAACAAAAAAAATCTGGAGTAAACCTATAGTGGGCATAAAATTCAAATTCAGAATACTTTTTCAACGTATTCAATTGTACATTTCCAATTGTATATGAGCATAGAAGACTCATCAGGTGTATTTATATAGAATTTTCTGATGGTACATCTAAGCTTTTAAACGAAAGAAGTAGACATGTAAACACGAATGGTCCTACGACTTAGGACAGACTTTCTCGTAATATTTCTAACTTACGTACAATTATTATAATTTTTTGCTACATTACTATTACTAATATTTCTGGTGTTTCATTCTGTCGCCCGCCGCGTCCCGCACCGCTCTTCTCCAGGCCTTACCACCCACTATTCGTTAGTACATTTGCCCCTTTGTACATTTGAATCCCGACTTGCTACCTGCCCTGCCTGGTTCACTGCCCGTCCACTCCGTGGACTTCCCGCCCCTTCGCCTGCCCGTCCGTCGGCCTCTTCGTCCGTCCGCCCCTTTGCCTGCCCGTCCGCCGGTCCCTTTGCCTGCCCGTCCGCCGG